TTGCTACCAAAAAAAAATAATCAAAAAAAGAGAGCGAAAATGAATAATATATTCGTGCGGTTTATGAATGAATTCTATAAAATTTGGTTGGGGGGGGGGGGGGGGGATTTTTATATGGGTTTGTTTAATAATTTTTTTAATTTGTGGGGGGGGGGGGGGGGGGGGAAGCTTTGAATAAGGATGTTACTGCGACGATGCTTCAAGAGACTTAAGCTTTTGAACAATATGCAAAAGCTTTTAATAAACATGTGCTCATCAATTAGGCATAAGACGTCTTCTGATTTACACTTTACATCGTCGTGAGTCCTCCATTTTAGGGTAATAACGAGATGATAGAAAGACAAGTTGTCTTTTCTATTTTTGAGTTAATCGTCTGTCACTTACTTATGCTTTTCTTTATTCTTCTCAACAAGATGTTACTAACTGAGATTTATGCTAATTCAATTGATTCTGCTATAATTCGCACATCTCCATAATTGGTGATTGAAAAGAATAAGAGTACTTTTGAACATTCACCACTGAACACACAAAAGAAATAATGACCAGTGGTTGAGCTGAGCTGTCAATTCTCTCTCCTCATGCTAACTCTTCTTCTCTTCATAAAGCTCAGGGGCAACAGAGTGTTATAGGTCATTTTTACTCTTCATTTAAATTTCTATTCTATAACTAATACAGAATTGAACAAGCACCTAAACACATGTATTATAATATAAAGTACACGAATGAACAGACGGCTGACGAAAGCTTAATTTATTCATTAAAGCCTAAAATCTCATCGCCCTTCCATAAATTGTTTGAGGGAACTCTACTGACAATAAGAAAATAATATTCTGCCAACTTATCGTCATGTTCAGTGAACATAATTTTTAGATCAGATATTCTAATGACTATAGTTATGTGAACGCATAGATCTCACGTGAACGCATTGATCTCACGTAAACGCTGATAACGTGCGTGCCATTTCATTTTTCACGCTCATATCATACCAAACGGTTGTTCTCACCTAATCTTCTACAAAATCTCTTTTTTCAATCTATTATCTTTAGTATAATCGGGCATCAACAGTTTCATCATTCAAACACACGTTCCCAGGATGATGTTAACTAAACTGTTGGACAACTAATGATGACAAAAGTAAGGTCAGAAATCTTCTATTATTATCTCACCTATTTGTCCTCCATATCCGGCTGTCATTTCTTTATATGGATCACAAAGAGAGTAATTGATGAGAAAAAGGTGAGGAGGGAAAAAAATAAGTTACAAATGAGGGACGGTTAAAGGCCTTAAGTGGAAAATGTCATGTTTGTTGTTTTTGCGGTAAGACGTTTGAGGTTGATTTGCTGGCAAATCATTGTTCGTCCTCGTCATCATCTTTACCTCATCCACTTTTTTTGAGGTCTTCTTTTCTTCATGTCTTTATGAATTAACACATTTGACACAAAAACAATTGATTGAGACTGTTTATAGTATTGAATTGCTTTGACTATCGGAATTGGTCTTAAAGACGTTTTTCCTCCTTCAGTTGAGCGGAACATATTATAAGGAAGAGAGGAGGAAAACTACTTGACGTTCTATAATAGAAGAAAAGACGTCAAAGCGTTGGGATGAAGAGGAAGAACAACGATGACCTCTTAATGAGTCACTTCAAATGGATGATACTTCTTTCTCAACTATTTCTACTTATCATTCTCCCTCACCTGACTGTCTTCCTAGACGATAGCATAACCCTTCTAGTAGTGTATTCAATTCAATTGTATTAATGTTTCCTTTCTTCTTTTCTATAATGTTTTATTCACCTCATTCAGTCATCATTATGCACTTATGATGATGCAAAGAAGCCGAGTCAGATAAGCTGCCAATAGACTGCGATAACCACTTAAGGTAACTCTTCAAATGAACAACAAGGGACCATATACGACCCACTAAACATTCTCTAACATATAATCGTTTGGATAAATAGATTGAACAGATACAGTAGATGATAGTTTGTTGATTAAGCTATAATGACTACAGTTCTTCCGCTTCCTGTTTCCTCTTGTTTTCTTAAGCATTTCCATTTCTATCTCAATTATGCTACCGTATTTGAAGGCATTCTCATAACATCTTCAATTAGGAAACTATCTTCTTCTTCAGTTTTGAATATAACAAAGACTTCCAGTTGGGCAAATGAATGATAGATAACCATCACCAGCTTCTTATATCCGGTAGTGCTAACAAGCTAGATATGCCATTAATCCATAAATGGATGACTGTAACATCATCAATAGACGAGACAACATATGATGAATGGAGAGACAAAACATGTCTCTAACAAGGGAAATTATATTAAAAAAAGCAAACATGCAGATGTATTAAGATAACATTCAAAGCAATTAGTCTTGTATAACCTTTGGATCAGTTCTTTTAATCTGTTCAGCGACATCATGAATCCGAGGAACGAAAGGCTAACCACCTGTTGTCCAAGAAAAATCAGGTCAAAACAACTAGTCGTTTGTTATGCTTATTCCTATTCTCAAACGAGAGGCTAATGAATAGCTAAATAGAGGAGGTAACATTCCATTAGAAGACATATTGTAATCGGCTTTATGTCACACGAAATTACCTTCTGAACCTTTTAATTATAAAATCTCAATCTGTCATCTCTTACAGTATTGAAGTCGGAAATTGCTCTGGTTGATTCATATATTAAGCAGATGTTATGATCAAAATCATTAACAAGTTAACATGCGAATAATGAGGTACAAGGAAATGAGGGAAGGAAGATTGACCTGTTCAGTTAAAATGTCTTTCAGCATTTGGTTAACTCTTTTAAAATTCCTGCCCTATTATGGCTGATAGCTACTTGACATTGAAAGATACTTCTTCTCCTTCTTCTTCATCATATTTCTATCTCCTTTTCAACAAAATCAGGGTTGTTGTCGTACATTTAGGGAGGACAAAATGGAAAAAAAAAGAAATGATTCTCCTATCTCATACACGTTTTCTTCCAAATTGACAATAATAGGAATTCGATTACGGTATCTTCATGGTTCTTTTACTCGTCTCATCTTTGTGTTGAGTTTTCTGGCAATCCATTAGGTAGTTGTGAAAAGATGATTCGTTACCATAGTTGGATAGTTCTCTTTTCGCATTTCTTCTTTTAGCCAACAACTACTGTCCATTACCGTTTCAGTGTCCTTGAGAATCAAATGTACTACCATACATATTTAGTGATTATCGGTCACAAATTCTTATTAGCCATGATTACCTAGCAAAACTAAGACATGTAGTCAATAAGAAAAAGAAAGACCTCAATATGGCTAGAAATGGGGAAAAAACTTTTTTTTTCTCGTCTTCGACTTCCTCTTCGACTATCATATTATGAAAGACAAATATTCAATGAGAACCACGAAGTATTCTTCATTATTTGAATAAACTTCAATTCAGAACTTTGTAACCTCGTGAAACCGAACAAGAAAGATGCCGACAAGACGATGAGAGCTTTCAATCACTGGAGTAGTCTGATAATACACAGACACGGATGAATAAGTAGTCTCAATCAACAGAGAAAACCAAACCCACAGACACGTTTTTGAAAAGCTGAAGTTGTCGTAGGATGAACAAAATTCATTTCATACCTGAATGAGAGATTCAAAAGGTTACGAATCACTTATAAGAGGTTAGGTTACGCACTTTCTTTTCTTGAAGAAAATGAAGCAATGAGTGTTTCATAGCTGTTAGAATATCAGATAGAACTAAGACTACTAGGTAAAGCTAAACAACTTGAGACAAATGGTGCACGCTTCGAGCATCTCAACGCACCAACGATTCATGGAACACATCTCGATGTTAAAACTCAAACAAGCTTAAATCAATCTGTCTGCATTTCGTTTATGAAAACCAGAGAACGTTTTCCATTTTTCTGAACTTACACTTCAACTTTCTACCTTTCATGATTTGGTTTTGGAACCCAGAAAACCTATGAGTTTCAAAAGATGGACTATGTTTTCAGCGGACAAGGAACAAGAAAGGAAGAATGAAAAGAATATTCATTGTTTTAACAAAATATAACTTTGGCTTTTGCTAAAACATGAGTAAATCATATAATAACAGAAGTTCCAAATATGCTAATCGCCGCATCATAAGCATTAACTTACTACAGTATGCCAATTACTTGTTACTTAAAAAGCAGTTGTGTATCTTCTTCATATTTTGGATAGAGTAGATGTTGCTTCATGTTATTCGTCGTCACCAATCTGAAGGCTTTTATCCCATCTTGTTAGCTTAAAGGAAGCTTGAGCTAGAAGGAAGCTCAGCTCAATTGAATTGATAGATATCTACCGTAGTCAATCAGCCTTCAACTTCTTCTCATTGGATAAGAGCTTCTTTACGTGAGCAAACGCTCATCTGCTATTCAAATCCAATAGCCGATTGGAATATATGATTGTTCATTATTATTCTCAATTCTTTTCCTTTTTCATCATTTCGTCTTCTCGTAACTCTTATTTTCAACATCTCACCCTCTCCTCTTCTATCCTTCTTTACCACTTCATCTCCTCTTCTCCAAATGCTTACTAATTTACAATGCTAAACATCTTTTTCAATCCTCATCACAACTTCTTATTTGGCCTGCTCGTTCACAGCATTCTGTTCAACAACTACCAGATAGGCTCATCATGCTGCTCCTGAATTTCAATAAGTTGTCGCTGTCATCTTCGGCCAACATCAGATCTCCAAACAAGAATATAACAGCTTAAACACTGCTCACAATCAATTCAAGAGAGAGAGAAAAAGAAGAACGAGGGAAACTCAAAAGTTTTATGAAAAGAAATATACAAATGCTAAAATTGAAATTACAACTATATACATGAGAATGACTACAAGACATGGGTAAGTGTACATCAAGAACCAAACAAACAAACGACTCAAAAAAAAGTTAAATTAAAGCTAAAAAAATCACTAAAACTTGTAATATTCATATCGTTTAAGTCTTCTAAATAGATAATTTATTAAATTATATATTAGAAAAGGGATAAAAATAATAAAAAAAGCGCCAGGAATGATAAGGTAGACTGATGTGCGCTTTTCCCATCGTGCTTCTTAACCGAACGAGTAGTTCGATGGATTATGTTAGCTTCAGTAGAAGATGTATCAGAATCTACGTGAAGACGATCAGCGTATGTAGACAGTAAATCTAATACAACACCGTTTGTCCATCCAAATCCATCCTGAAAACAAGAAAAGGTAAACCCTGCCAGTTGTTTGAAAAATAATTACTTGAACATCGTATTCTCCTCCTGAACCAGGCTTAGGATATGTTCCAATAACATTATACTGAAAAATGGAAAGTTGTTCTTCTTCAGAATATGGCAAACATTACTTTCTCGTACATATGCTTAGTTTCCCGCCATACGTTATAATTTCCTAGAACCCATTTTCTAGCCAAGAGAAAACCCTTAAGCAGATTGTAAAAAAAAATATTTCAGTCTGCAAAGTTACTTGGTCCTGCATCTGAGGATTTTGACTTTTTCTTAACCCCTCGATAACCATATGATTAAGAGGACTCCAGCCATTAGGGAAGTCCCATTGTTCATTGCTCCCTTGGATCATTGATGTCGGAATACCTGATTGATAATCAAAAACTCCCATATTCTGAAGTAGAAGCTTATCAAGAATTTCAAAAGAATCAAAACCTTCATAAGCTTATAAAGTCTTTCAGACTTTCCTTGATCCAATGTGTTATAACATCCAGTAAAGAGAGGTACCGTCATGGTTGGGTAAAATTCAGTATTGTGCATATTTGTTCGCAAATTGTAGTCATACCTTAGATAATTTTTAAAGATTTTTGATCAAATAATAAAAAAGATTACCATGTGCCGGCAGTTTCATTGTAAAAGATGCTATCAACAACCTGTCTGAACTCTGCTCTCATATTTCTATACTTTTCAGCAGTATCAAAATCGTCTGCAAAGCATTGCTTTAATGGAAGAGATAATACGATCAATTTTACTTATTTTTTCTGATAAGTACTCCAGTATGTCAAAATTCCAACACATGAAGGCATTAAGATCAATGGGAACCACCTACATAAATTCAAATATTTCTTCATAGTACTCAAATTGTATAACCTTTGTTGTTTCAATGTGATAGATAGATGCTTTATCAGCGAACCAACGGGTCGAAAAGTCCATCCCAGACTCAGCAGCTGATGCTACGTCCTAAATAATTTAGAGTAATAGCTTTCATTAAAGAATAAAGATTATTGAGTTTAATTGGAACAAAAAAAAATTGAATTTTCCCCTGATTTACTCCAATCATTCTTGTTTTTGAGATGAAAGTTATCAACCGCTCTCAAATACATGCAAATTAAAATGAAAACATGCGTGATCGCTCACGTGAGATACACGCTTAATCCACGTGAATCGTAGAACTAGGGGGGGTTTTCGGAAAACAACTCAGGGTTTTTAATTTTAGAATGTGTAATTTCCTTGATTGACAAAAGAAAGAGAGAAAAACATTAAACTTACTGTGTAGAATTGCTCAGGATCAAGTAGGTTCTTTGATTTAGTAGTGTCTTCATGGTATGACTCTGGACGTGGGACATTACTAGCTGTTCTGTATTGATAAACAGAGTATGTAAATCCATTTCTTGTGATATTGACCTGGACAGAGAGAAATATATTTTTCGTTACTGAATATTAGAAAAAAAACATTTCAATGATTTTGTCATGTGCACGTGATTAATAACGTCAGCGAAATTTTTAAAACGCACTTCAATCCGTGACATATGGCTTACAAGAAACCAAGTTCAGTAAGATTTTTACATCATTCTTCTTCTCCGAACATGAGATCAAATGATCAAAGAAAGCTTACCATCCTATTGTTGTTCCAGAAGCTCATTTCTTTTTCTAGAACAGGTATCATTTTCCTAATGAACTCGTAATCGTTCGTAGTCTCAAAGTATTCGTAAACCATTCCAGACAGGAGTGGAGGTTGAGATCGTTGTAAGTAATAAACTCGCCCACCATTGGGGATAAAGCCATATCTGGAAAGAAGGAAAAATATTATTTCCGTTCTAAAAAGTTGCGTTCAAATCAACCTTTCAACAAGCGTTGCAAAATTTTCAATCATTGATTTTGCTGTTTCATGCATTTCGCATATCAATAAGCCCTGAAGAGGAACACATTCAAATTCCGAAAAAACATTTGTTTCCAACCTTTATAATCCAATAAGCATCCCAATAGTAGGATTCTCTAAATCTACCACCTGGCACGATAAATAAATTGGGAACATAGATAAGAGAATATCGTGAACTGTGTTCTTCAATTTGCGGATCAATCTAAAAACTGAATGAGAAAAGTTTTCAAAGAGTGATTTACCTTTTTACACAATGTTCGCCAAATATTATTTAATTCTGACGCCCACGCTCTGAGATCAGGATCATTTATTTTCATTAAGATAGAAGGAGTAGCTTTCCAATCTGGTGGAGTGCAGTTGAGCAATTCACTTCCTGCAGGTCTAAAAGGAGAGATTCAATAGATGACATAGCATAGACAGAATATCCTACAAGAAATATTTGTTTACAAAAGCTTTCAAGTCAGTTTTGTTAATATTCTCTACAGGTGTTGTTCCAAATCGATCATCAAACAAACGTTGAGTTTCATCTGAAAGAGAAAAAGAATTCGAAATATAGAGATAGGAAAAATAAAAAAGAGCAGAAAACAATTGACAACAACGCTCGTACCTGGGTTCAACACCATTGGCATATCTACAAATGTTTTTGAATCATTAAACAGTTGATGTTGATTAACAGCTTCCAATAAACGTCCATAACAGTAAATAAATCTTAAATTAAACAAAATAACAAAAGAAGAGAAAGAACGCTACTCACGAGTTGTTCGAATTAGTAGTATCACAGACTTGGACTGGTGTCCTCTGCGTAAGAACGTGTATTGAGTAGAAGAGGAAAAATAATATACATTGTGTTAAATTCATCTGTAATATTAAAATTAGAGAAGAGTATATAGATTTCAGGAACTAAGATTATCAATAGACCATATGTCTCATTACGAACTCGGGAAAAACGAAATACATAACACATCCGACATTAAAATCATTTTGAAAGAAGAGAAGTATCTCAAAGAAATAATTTGAAACAATCTGCTGGCAAGTCGTTTTTTCTTTTAAAGAATTTCAAATTTATATGAAAATTGAAAGGCTAATCGGATTTCACATACATGTGATCAGATAAAATTCTGATAAGATAATAAAACTATTCCGAACAAAAATTGCAAGTTTCGACGATTGTTGATCGATACATGAGCTCAGACAATCTTGAAACCAACCCTTTCTATCCAAAATAGAAAAAAAAACTTTCTGTTCGAGATTATTTACTGTGAAATTGATTAACAACAGTCCCGGATGATTACAAGACTAGACAGGCATAGTTTGCAGAGATACGCATTGTTTAATGATTGTTCAGTTGGTTTCATAGCATGCTTTCCATATTTAGACAGAGATTCTCGGAAACATTGGAACAGGAGAGTTCAAGTTGAATGAGTAAACTGTTAATATGATAAAGATGGTTTTGGTGACCAAATGTTTATTTTGATAAACTATTAAGGCATTGGGTAATAAGTAAACAGAGAACATCATCAGTTGACAATAAAACACAAATTTGAAAGTCTTTCTAAGGCATTCTGAATATTTGAAGGCTTTGAGAAGATTGTAAGGACAGACGACGAGCATGAGCTGTTGGCAGCAGTAAAACGATTAGTTTCACTCTAGTCATCTCTCAAAGTCAAGTCCAACCTATTGGATCTGATGACATTTGGTTCGGGGAATAAATAGAAAAATCATTCAGCGTTATAACGGAAAAATGATCTTCTAGGAGTTCCAAGTGGAGCCGGATAAACACAATCAGCAAAACGTAAACGATGAAATTGGGAGGCATACGAAGGTGGATCACTATAAAACTTTTTTGAACATGTAACAAACAGCGAACAAACCGGTAGTGTAAAATCCATTTATCAAAGATCCCCTCATAACATGTCTCAGCGTTAGAATTCAGTAATAAAACCTCAAAAGTTCATAATATATCAAAATGATAGTTTTTTACCGACCCATTTGACACACCAGGATTGGCTGAAGCTGAATCCTGGCCACCAAAACAGCCCCATGTTCACGATATCATTTTGTTTGAAAAATAACTTGAAATGATCAGTTGCTCCTTTTTCGAAATCGTTCCTAAGAAATGTATATTTCAAACATTTCTAATATTACTTTACCTGGCTGGATTATCTAGAAGAAAAGTCTCCGAATCATGATTCGCTTCATAAAATATTTTCAGATAAACAGAAGCATCTGTTCCTGATCCTTTGATATCACATGTCTTTATGACTACATCCCAAATTTGACCTTCTACAACTATCAATCTGACAATAAAAAATCTCTAAACATGCCTCACCGTTTACGATTGTGCTATTTTCTGGAGCGCCGAAGCCTAGGCTCAACAGAGAGAATTGAAGGAAGACTAACTCGGTCCGCCACATTAAGGAGACTAAGAGCTCATTGAAAAGATTTCTTCTACTCATAAGTGCAGTCGGGCATACTTCTTTCCATTGTTATTGGACATGAAGCTTTTAGTTCTTACAATTACAACTGGCATTCGTTTTGCCTTGAACAATCCATAGGCAGTTAATAAACAAGGGGTTGAAACGATGATATTTCCATGTTTGAATTGATTTTAAGAAGTTGTCATAATCAATACTGATCAAAGAAAGATCCAGGAAAGTCATTAATCTTCCAGTCACTAGTTTGAATCTCGAAATATGTCTTTTAATGTGCACTTTTCCCCGTTTTGGAATGTTTGATGATCATTCTTCAATATTTTCCAACGAGATTACACAGTTACACCATTCAAAGGAGCGTATTTTCGAACATTAGCGCAATTTTCAAATTTCTTTTCCGTTTTTTTAATATAATTTTGTATTATTTTTTCGTTTATACGAATATATGTTTTAATGATTCGCATATAGCTATCAACAAGTTCATTTCATATAACTCTATGTCATTCAGGATGTTTACTGAGTTCTCGTCTCCTGGAGGCGATATGTACATGGATGCTACCGACAATGGATATTCGTCTACACCAGTAATGTAATATTTGTGTTTTTAAATACAAATAGTTTCATTATTCTGTTTTTCAGAGGAGGATTGAGAGTCGAGGAGCCCAACAAAACTCCTTCTAGATCTTTTACTCCAACCAGAACACTTGCCACTACTCCTTCTAGAGTAATACTTAACAATTCTATCCACACCTCTAAAGTGACTACCATCTACGATCAAATATCCGATTGGTTCGATTCTGAGGTTAGTTTCACTTTTTCTTATCGATAGTTGAGTGAGGATTGTGTTCAGATTGATAGACGGAGACTTCGTGGTTCTCTCTTCTTCGCTTCAATCAGCGCTATCGCGTTTTTCGTTTGTTATTTGTTATGTAAAATTAACATTTTCTCTCCATTTTCTAGTATTTATGGTAAGTCCTTTCTTCATTTTATAACTTCAACTGACATATCCAGGTGTAACTGCTTCGTTCACTACCCTCTCTTCTTATTTGCTCATTCTGTTGTCTGGTTTCGTTTATTTTGTCTATTCTAATATCTTTCTCCGATGTTTCTACAAAGGTATGTTGTTTCAAAACTTTTTCTATAATGATCCTATTATTTCAGTGGATCAAGACGAGAAGTTATCACCTTTAAAGTTTGAAACATGGGTCGCGTGTGCACTCACTCTCTCTGTGAATTATTTTATTTCTTTCCTTCTAATCAAAAACGTTAATCTAACTGAGTCTGGGTTAGTAAGAGTTTGATTTCAAATTCAACAAATTCAATTTTCAGTCTAATGGCTCTAGTTTTGTATTTATCTGTGACTATTGCCGGTGTCGGTACTGTACTTAGAGGAGACTATCAACTTCTTTTTTCTGGAAACGCTGTTCAGGTAGTACCACATAATCGTGGAGTTCTCTCAATTCTTTCTTTAGATGAGTTTCTGGAACTCCATTATTTCTATGTTCGCTATCCGAGGAGAGACTGTTCTAGTACATTCCTTGAAAGCGGCCACGAAAACTATTGCTGCTGCTCTCGTTCTTGGATTTGTCTTAGGTACTACGAATTCTGTTGATGTAGCCTCATCAGAATTTTTCAGGTCCATTCTTGTTCGGATTCTCCTCTATTCTCGTGTTCTTCCACCCTAGTTTGTACCAAATTCTTTTCGGCGTTACTGTTTTCCACATTATGATTGGAAAGGCATTGACCAGAATCGTTAAATCTATTGTTCTGCAGGTGATTTCTTTGTTCAGTCCAAAAAGTGAGATCTTCATCTTTTTCAGCCTATTGCTTTTCCATTACCTCCCGCCTATGTTGTGAGTAGCCCTACTCCAGAACAAACGAGAAACTTGATCAATGTCATTGAATCTCAACACAAGCTTTTGAAGCTTTTTGCCTTTTTCGATTTGAGACGGATTGGTTGGAATGATAGCAAGAGAAGACTTGAAGTTTTCTCATTAAGTCAACCAGGTTAGATAGTTTTCTTGTGTAGGATTATAGTTCAACCTATTGTTCTTTTAGGTGGACACCCCAGAAATTGGTCTGCTCTATCCTCTGCTTGTTTGAGAGTCTTGGAAGAAGCTAAGTCTGAGATTGAAATCGCTCTATCTCGGTACACTGGATCATTCGATGATAACGAGGATGAAGATGCTATCGATCGGGAGATGCTCCTTATGCCCATGAAAGCCCGTAAACAATGTTAGTCTTCAATGCGAACAAATTTCTCATTTTATCATTTGCAGTATACTCTTCTGCTATTCGTCAGAGACATAGAGTTGCGCTCAGACCAGCTGTATCAAAGCCTTCAGTTTTCAAATCAAAGAAGTAAGAACTGTTAACGTGTTTGTTATTGCTTATTATTATTTTAAGATGGATTGTTGAAAATGATGCCCCCTTGATCCCAGATTACAATCTTCAACTAAGTACACTGGCTGTGGAAGGTTAGCGGTCTTTCGTGTGTAGTTTGGACTTTTTTTGTTCAGGTTTCTTCAAGCTTGTCGTGAAGTCTTTCTCCGAGGATAGATTCGGAATGGTTCTCAAAGATCTAAACATCATCATCAGAAGCTTATGTTCTCTCATCCAAACGATTGACAAGTACTTTAGAGCTCGAGCAGTAAGACCGGATGCTTCGTATCGAGTTCGAATGTTACTATTTCAGACCGTTCCTCATGACGGAGTATCAGTTGAAGGAGTTCATAAACTGAATTTAACTCTCCAATCTGCTCTCATTCATATCCATAACGAGTTCGGAAATCATCTCAAGTATGTTCAGTTTTCAGTAATGCAGTTGATTATCATATAATAGGGATATTGGATTGTCGCCAAGAGAGTTGGAGTGCATGAAAATGATTTGTGAGATGGAGTGGAGTAAGGTTTCCAACAGTTCCATTTAAAATTTTCAATCTTTGTGATCTTTCATTACCTTAGTTTACAGTGCAAAAAATACCGGTATGTCATACTTTTCCCCGTGTTCTCAAAGTATTTTGGTTTTGTTTTCTTTATTTATTACTTTATATTAACCATGTCTGCTACAATGAAGACTTTCATTATAAAGGTTTTTGGGGAAATAGAATATGACGATAATGGAGGGCCATCAGATAACGCATAAGGAGGGTTGATCATATCTGTGGTGATGATGTCTCATTTGAATGTTTGGTACTTTGAATAACTCATTGTCATGGTTTTTTCTGTCAATTTGCCATCTCAAATCAATACGTCTTTTGTAACATTGGGTCTCAATTCTCTTCATGTGTTTCTCTCAATATTGCCAAGTTTCCGCTAAACTTTCGTATGACCTTTTTCGTCACTTCGTAATTTTTCACCCGAGCTTCAGCATAGATTGTTTGTGGTTCTATCGAAGATTAAAGAATACTGTTTCATCCTAGGATTTTGCTTTATTCATTTATTCAATTATAATCTTCTTGTTAACTGTTATAAAGACAACAGTTAAGCGGTAGATGGAACCTGTTCCTTTTTTCATAGATAGACAGGTGACATGACTGAAGAGACTCTTCTGGCCACACCGCAATCTCAATGTCATCCGCATGGTTTCTTGTTATGTCTATTGTTCCAGTTGTTTTACTCTTACAACTTTTATCATTGAATATCAACCTTAATTTAATTTCTCGTCTTTTTTAATTTCTTAAATGCTTTTTTCAATTTATTCTCTAGTAGGAGCTGAAGTCTCGACTATCGACTCCATACAGGGAGTACGTCTCAAACAGTATGTGGGAACTAATGAACAGGCGACAATTTCCTCTTTTGGCAATGCTATTTCAAGCTGTTTTTGTAATTTTATTTTTCTTCTTCTGTCGGTATATCGATCCCTTGGATGACAGTAAACGCATCTATAGTAACACTGACTATCCGTGTGAGTTCATTTTAAAAATTTTCGAAATATGTCATCGAGCATTGTGAAATATTTAATATATCATCGTCATCTGTATTTTTACGAAACTTCTGCAGTGTTCCAGGATGTGCATTTGATGATTTTCGTTGGTTTCGGCTTCTTAATGGCTTTCCTTAAGGTATCAAAGTATCATTCTTGCTATATTTGAACTTGCGATTCTTACAGCGATACGGCTTCGCAGCAGTTTCTGTAAATTTACTTTTATCAGCTTTCGTTATACAATGGGCTTTAATTATGAGAGGATTTCTCACGAAACAATTTCAAGAAACTGGTATTTTCACTGTCGGAGTGCCTGAGTGAGTTTCCAATTAATCATTGCTTCTTTGAACTTTTCAATTTACTCGAACATTTCTAGAATGATGTCAGCAGATGCCTCATGTGCTGTCGTACTCATAACTATGGGGGTTTTACTAGGAAAAATGACCCCTTCACAGTTTCTTTTAATGGCTTTCATAGAAACTACTCTGAATGTTATTGTTGAATATGTGTTATTCAATTATTTCCATGTTCGTTTTGACAGTGAAATTCTTGATGATATATCTAATTATCTAGATCAATGATGGAGGAAGATCTCTTGTTGGGCACATGTTCGGAGCCTATTTTGGATTAGCTGCAGCTATCGTTAGTCATAAGAAGAATGTAATGGAAATGAATGATGAAGGATCTATCAAACATTCAGACCTTTTTTCAATGATCGGTACATAGGCCTATAAATTTAATTGTAAGGTGTAATATATTTCAGGAACTTTACTTTTATGGGTTTTCTTTCCTTCGTTCAATGCCTCCATCCAGGAACCTGGTTAGCAGCTTCTTTTTTTAGAAACTCAAGGTTCTTTTTTAGAGGATGCTCGACATCGTGCTATAATGAACACTTACTTGGCTATGGCTTCTGGCACTGTAACAACGTTCTTGATCTCATCGTTCGCTGATAACTTGGGACGTTTCAATATGATTCATATCCAGAGCTCTACACTGGCTGGCGGAGTTGCCATTGGTACGAACAGTGTTTGATCTCAACCTCATTCTCCTTACAGGCTCTGCAGCTAATGCTGTTCTTTATCCTTCTCACGCAGTCGGAATAGGAATACTTGGAAGTAGTGTATCAGTCATTGGACATGTCTGGGTGACGGTAAAGTGAGGTTGTAAAGACATATTTTTACTTTTGTCGTTACAGCCATTGCTTCAAAAGCATTTCAAATTATATGATACATGTGGAGTACATAATTTACATGGAATACCCGGAATACTCGCAGGGGTGCGTTTTTTTCATTGTTATTGACATTCTTTTTCATTCAGAAACTGAATGATCTATCTTTTTAAGAGCGTAAACTTAGTGTAAATTTTAGTTTTCAGGTGCTAAGCATCGTCATTGCATACTTCTATGAAGCGGATAGTTACGGAAAAACGTTTGTTGTTTTGAAACTTGTTTCATCTTTTACCTTATTTGTAGTCTTTATCATATCTACCCTTACTACATGGGTGGTCCCATGAATGGTGATCGCGATAATAAGTCGCAAGCCTTGTATCAACTAACAGGAATGAGTTTTGCTTTCGTTACGGCTGTCATCGGAGGTCTCCTTACAGGTTTTGTCCTGATTCCCTGTAGTCAATTAAGTATCAGTTTTTAGGACTTCTCTTACGAATTCGTTTATGGAACCAAGTTGAAGATCCTCGTTTCCCTTATGGTGAAACAAACTACTACGCAATTAAAGATTCCAACTTTCTAAGCAAGGTTGATCCAAACTCAGTTTTTACTTCTTATCTAGAATTTGCAGTATCAACGAGCTCAGGAGCAAGAAATGATGGAGAGACTGCATGACTTACAAGAAATATACTAAACATCTTGTATTAGGTAAAATATTCTGAAATGAACGAAACCTGATGGTAATACGAGTGATAACATGAGAAAAGCATAATACTATTGATTAATCTCTATTTCTATAGGATTTTAATATTTCCAATTGCCGTGTTCAATATGGCTATATATGTAAGTTATCTATTTTGTGTTCTTCCGCTGTACTCAGTACTCTCTTGTTTCTTTCTTTTGTATTTATATAAATATGTGATTGACATTAGAAATTATAACTCTCTGTGTAAGTAAGCGACTTTATGCTAATGTGTTCTGTGTCACGCCATTCTTCACGCATTTTTTCATAATCATTTTACATTAGCTGCTTGTGCGCAGAACGGTTGCATTATTCTCATTTCGCCAACGATAATTGTACTGTTACGTGATAGTGTTTAATTTCATATTTTTTAACATATGAAATTTTCTTTTGATTGACTGTTGTTGATTTCCACAGACTATCTTTGCTCAGCAGAAGCATCAGCAACACTAGACTAATGACTTGGACGTAGATGACAGGATAATTTACACACGAATCCTCTATTTATGCTGTGGTGGGAGAAAAAATAAATATGGTTTGGATGTCTATCGGGATGGCTGTAGCATCGTGGTTTGACCCCTGAAGCGAGATATTTGCAAACGATTCAAATCCAAATGAACAACAAACAAATTTTGGTGGTTAAAAGTCAAATGGAGGCGAGTGTCGACAGTGCAAGTCGTCTAGCTTCTATTTTTTTCGGAGTCACGTTGATCTTCTGCAGTGAAGTAAGTGCATTTGTTGGTTGGAAGATATATTTGAAGTATAATATAATGAAGAAACTAGGTCTGAAAAGAGCGAAGACAACTCGGATAAGATTAGAAACAATGAATGCGATTGAATGATGCAAGAAATGAAAGTTTCATTTGTATTACTGCTATTACAATATTTGTTTTGACACTAGCTCATTCATAACTATAATTGCAAAACTATTCGGTAGAACATAAGGTAAATACACTGTTGAAATCGACATAAGAGTAAAGATTGATTGTCGAGTAAATGGGTCTATCGGACATTTCTTTTCAGTCAAATTGGTCGGTGACCAAACCGAATTTTGATTCAAACGAACTCTATGGATTAGAAAGTGCTCAAATGAATCAGTTGAAGATAATGGGAACCGTATACATTGCACAAATACTTTCACAAACAATAATAACATCTCAATAGGTGCGAGACTTTCTATCTTTAGTTTTTTTCTTTCAATTATTTCTTTTAAACAATGGATCAAAAGACTTCAAGTTTAAATCTGTTTGCATTTCGCACAGTAGCAGATGAGTACGTGTGATTCGAAGATGATAATTCCCTCATATTTCACGCGATATCTATACTCAATCACCTCATTCTCGCCTCATTTTTTTGTCGAAACCCTTCTTGTCAGCATCTGCACGAAGAAATGTTTGCGGTCAGTCTTGGAAATCTGTCTTTTCCCTATCTTCCTCACATCTTTCTCTCTAGTGTTTTTCTTCGATCTCTCGCCGATTCGCTTTTTCATCTGATGGCTTAATCAACGACTTACGCAGACTCTTTCCTTCATGTCCATTTACGTCTTCATCATCATCTCTTTCTTATGAAAACGTCCTTGTCTCGGCCTTTCTCACTCACACTCACTCCGTTGAGCACATCATATTTTTGCGAGTCAATGTCTTTAAACTCCATCTGATCACCTTATGCATTCATCTCTCTCACATAGTCCCACCCCTCAGCTAGCTGTCGCCCTCTTTGGCTACAAAAGCAGCCTCGCATCCGTTCCTTCTCAATGCTCGCAAACTTTCATTCATTCTTCTGAGCAGCCCCACCCCTTGAACAGATAAAGCGCACAGTTACTATTCACTCCTTGTCCTCCATTACTCACACTGTTTGGTTGTCTTCCATATATTGACATCATCTAACATATTTCAACTGGTTCGATCAACTGTAATTATATCAAAATGTTCAGGTGAGATATATCGTTATAAAACCAATTGACCGAAGTCTTTCAATCTCTTGAGGGAAGAGCTTCTTCATAATTTTCAAGTTGCTCATCTTCATAATAACCATTTCTTCACAATTTATCTGTCTCTTCTCTTTTTATCACGAATTGTACAAGAAGAGAGGGGTGGACACGTTCTGCTCAAACTAATTGCTTTCTTATTCTTTCGATATACAACGAAACTTTTGAAAAGTTACATTAACGTTCAAAAGAGCTGTAAGACAGTCTTAAACTCTAAAGCATCGCCTTTTTCAAAGGATTACAGAGTTTTACTTTTTCGCCTCGTAATCACTTCATGTCCTTTTCAATAGTTCGTCTTCATCGAAGAAAATCTACTTATCGTTTATTTGTTTTCATTTTTCTCTCTGTTGACCATCTCCTTTTATCACAAATTAAGTGGAGAAACTCAAAAGCTTACCACATATGTATTAGTGTATCACGAAGATGATGCACACTTTCATCAAACTTTTGATTCAGCCTCATCGTGAACTTATTGAACTCATCACTTGCAAGCCCACTTATCTCTCGTGATTGTTTCATTTTCGATGGAAGACACGAACAATCCGAAAAAAACGAAGAAATATAAATGATGGAACAATCTCACATATTGTATATTTCAGATTAACTCTCCTTTCGGCTCTTCTTGTTGCTTCCTACGCACAATATGCCAGCAGACCTAGTAGTGAGTTTCGGTAGTATAATGATACATTTGCAATGAGAACCTTTTTAGCCGCCATGTCTCAAGACAGTATCCCTGCTTGGTATCAAATGTCCAAACAAGCAGCTTCTCCATCATACCCTTCTTTTGAAAGAAGAGATCAGTTTGAGAGACTTGACCGTCAACCTGCTGTCCCTCAACATACCAACAGCTATTCCGGGTGAGTTCTTAAATTCTTTCCCATTATTACACCTACGTATTTGGTAAAAAGATACACCTGTCAGACAAAAGCACTATTTATTTTGTTGTTTTTTCTTGACTTGTAACTTAGCGTTCTCAAGAGAACAAAGAGAAAAGGGATCAATATCAGTTTACTTCTACATGTTGAATACATTTCATTCTTCCAGATACCCCTCGTATAACACTATTCGTTCGGGATCAACTTACACTGACAGTCAACTTCCGGGACAAATGCCCTCAGTCATGCCCGCTGGGCCAAATCAAGGCAGCCGTCGTTACCCATCTGGATCTACTCAAGATGTAAGTGCTCGAACTTATGCTATGAGAAACAAGTACGACCGATATGGAAGAACAGATGCAAGTTCTGAAAATGAGAATCTGTCATCTGTATCGTACTCTCTTTTAAAAAGTGTTCCTCCAAATTGGGAAAAAATTTACGAGACAACACGATCCTTGTACTATTTGAACAAGGTAGTCGGTCTGAAGACACTTAGCAATTGGATTTTCTCATGAAATAGTTTTTATGAGAACAGAAAGATTAGTATCATTCAGTTACAAGTATTACAGTTCAGTATTTTATGAATGTTTTACGTGTTAGGGTAGCATGCGCTTTAAATCTTTGGCTTTTACCTACCTCTTTCCTTCCTCTTCTTCTCTCTCTTTCTCTATTTATTTACCGATACCTCAGAGCTTACTTTACGCTTTAACCCATGTAAAGTTCAATTGTGCTCTGATATATCGTGTAAATAAATAAAACTTTGTTTGATTGAGTCTTCATGTTTTTATGGTAAAAGGCAAGATTCGTTTAATACTCCCCTCGAGGTGTCTTCGACAGCATTCTCTTCCTTCTCAAACTCTTTTGAACTTCAGCAATACGTGTTTTAGATCTTTATCTTACCTGCTTCTTCCTATACATTCTTTCGCTTTCACAGATGAACGCCCATCCGTTTGAATCTTCAATATCTCGGTATCATAAGCTGCTACTTCTGAGGAAAAGGAAAACTTCAACAACGACCACAGTTTCACCAACTACATCGAGCGATTTTGAAAGCTCGGCTAAACTCACAGCTAGAACTCGGAAGGCACCACAATCACTTCGCAACATTTACTCCACCATTCGTCCAAGAGAAAAATCATCTGAGCTTCCAACACCATCGCCAGAACGATCAATTCCTGTGAGCAACATCCAAACTCCACGTTTGAAGTGGAAGAAACTCTTAGTAAGAGGAGAAACAACTTCAGCTCCTGCGCCAACTACTACAGTGGCAACAACCACAACAACTTCTACAGTCTCTCCGATCACAACAACTCCCAAAAAGACAACGGTTAAAACAACAGTCGTTCCGACTACAACTACTGTGAAGTCGACAACGGCGAAACGGGAAGAAATTATCACTCTTTCTGAAAAACCAAAACTGCCCGATATGCCAGGGTTCAACGGTACTCACTCACGGTTTATCTGTCGTCATAAACCAAGTGAAGAAACAAATCGTTTCTGGCGAACAATAGCGCCATTCCGAGCGATCGAGAGAAATATTGAGTCAGGATTCAGAATCGTTGCTACAACGACACCTAACTCCAAAGCAGGAGAAGGACAAACTGTGAAGAGAAAACCAAGACCAGAGGAACAAGCTGTACAACTTATCGAATATCTTTTGGTAGGCAGAACTAGCATGATATGATTGCTGTGCTGATTATTCCAGTGTGTTCTCTAAAAAAAATCAAAACTATAATACTTTCACCACCATCCGCATGTCTTATTCTCTCTCTACTCCCACAACACTAATGTTAAAAAGCTAAAAAAACTGAACTAAAACACCTTATTAAGAAGTTAAGTCACAAATGATACATAGGAGTAAACATAGAACACGTACTTATATAATCCAAAGTTCATAACTGCACAGTTTAACACCTGGATATGACGCGTGTCTCACAATAATTCCTTGTGAATAATACAGATACCGATCAGAATTCTACAGACGTTCACCATGTAGTCATTGCTCTGTAGAGTTTTGTCATTTCTGCGATATTCAAGAGATTTCGAACAATTATGAATAATTAAATTTTCAGCCAAACTCGGAACTTCTTGCTGCCATCAAGGATGTTGTAGCTAAGTTCAAAGCTTCTCTTGATGAGACTGGAATTGATCAAGATGTTAGAGTAATGGGAAATCAACTCAGAAACACTTGGCAACAACTTAGAACAGGTAAGCATTTCTTTTTTTTTCTTCTTCTGTCGCTTTCCTTTCCGAATCGGTCTACGAGTAAAATTGAGCAGCCACTACTTCTATTCTATCTTTTCATTTCTTTTTCTATCAATATAATCTGAAATTAATTGGCAACTCAGTTTCTCCAGGACTTGACCGGGGAGTGAAAGCGGTCCAGCACAGTGCCGAAGATTCCCTTCGCCACATGAGCTACGGAATTGTAATACCAAAAACGATAACTATCCGAAAAATATTGATCAATGATATTTTAGGGCCAGTAAACGAGCAACTGGGGCGTTTATTCGAGAAAGCTGTTGCTGATGCGACCGACGCAAGAACAATTAGAAATTAGTAAACGAAACTTAACGCTCGATTTCGTGTATGTATTAATGTTTTAACATTATAACCGACTTGTATTCCTGTGATGGAAATAGTTGTACGTACATTTGTGTACGAATATTATAAATATGCATAAGATTCTCAAATAGTTGCAACGAAACCCTATCTTACAGTCCACAAACTTACAGAGTAACACTCGCGTACGCCGTTCGACTCTCGAATGCTTGTAGTTTTACACCGGTGCAAAGCTCGCTTCTATCAACAGTTTAATTTTTTTGTTGCGAGCGGTCGGTCTTGTCAGAGTGTTCATCCTATTGTATGAGGGGTGGGGAAGTCATAGGGACCACACAGTAAAAAAACAAGTCAAAACGTGATTGACGTAATAAAGGGCGTAATGATCACAGTAATCTTGAGTTTCAGTCGCTTTCGAGGTTGTTGTATGCAACTCTATCGGACAGTTATACTTCTGATTTCATCATTTAGCGAGAATCCTTAGACATCAAAGTTCAACTCGTATATTGGACGACTGTTTCTTACCGTTGGTTTCCAATCGGGATTCGGTTCAAAAAACAGATCATCAGTTTTATTAATTTACATATTATTATTATTATTATTATTATTATTATTATTGTTATCACAGTTCGGATGCACGGAACTGTTTCAAACATTGAGTTATTGCTAACTTAATAATTCAAGGTTTTTTCGTGCACAAACACTGAAACCGCACATTGTTGGGCAACACTTTTGATTTGAGGCGCTGCACTGCATGTTACTCGTGCATTTGCTATCAGATGGTTGTGACGCAAAACAAGTACCAATCATCTCCAGAGGTGTTGGGCAGAACGACTTCTGCATTCTAAAAAATCGTTTTTCATAATTTCTGGTTTCTAATTCGAATTGAACTTTTTTATTGGAGCACAGCAGGTTTTCCTGTTTACCCTTGATTGACACAGAAGACCACTCTCGCATATGGAAGATGATTTGCAAGAATTAAAGGAAGCCGAGCATTTTTCTGAAAGTGAGCAGTTTCCCAAATTGTGACAATGAAATTACCTATACGCATTATTCGTATCACTGGTTTATTTGTTGATGACACCTGAGACTTGTACCTGTGGAAGCCCCCGAGCAGTTCTCTGTTCAACGGTGGTAGTTGCCTGTTTGTTTCATCTGAGCACTCATGCTTGTTGATGCAAAACGCAAAATTATTTTACCTTGAAGCTTAGAGAAACGAAGTCGGTACAATCCATTGCATTCTGGCTTAACATGGTCTTTATGTAAAGCTCGCCAGTACTGGCACCAGTCCAAATGATTTGTGCAATGTAGACTTGGGAGAACTACCAGTAGTATCAGCGGTTTGAAACTTAGCATGTTCTATGATGATTACTAGAAGATGGGAAATGAAATATGGAAGAATAGTTCAGGAAGTTAGAGCCAGCTTTTATTTGGGTAGCCAAAGGAGCAGTAGGATTTAATTTCATGTCTAACTAGGTCTGTCAAGTAGCAAAACTGGTAAGTCTAGTCTAGTCTAGTTTATAGTGTTCGAAACCCTTTAACTTGAAGTTCAAAGAAAACATTCAGGATTGTAAGTTAATTCGCAAACATCAGGTTAGGGGAAGCTGTTTGTTCTACGAAAATCCCTGACCACTACTCGAGTTGGCGTAAAAATAAATATGTAACTAGAGACGATTGGCAAAATAAAAGTTTACAATATTTTACTAGAAACTTGTGAGAGAGAAAAAAGAGAAAAAAAAATAAAGAAATTCAGTGCTCTTCTTCGGTCGAAGCCGCGCCGAATGATAAGGATGAACTGTCCGGAAGCTTCGTTGTTTTCTCTCCGAGCCGCTTTAAATGGAGAAAAAAACCATTCCGGTAAAATTAAGAGGATTAATGAACTGGATAGGCAACAGAAATCAGGAAGAACAAATGATGTATGGGCAAAGGTTTAAGCGAGAACGTTGGTTAGAGTGAAACAGTCATGCTTTCTGAAAGAAGAGCACATGCAATAACATCCGAATGCTCTTATCTAGTTTCTAAAACTTAGAACTTTTATTTCTTGACAGAAATAAGAATATTTATTTGAGACAAAGAAAGCACTCAAGGTGCAATGCGTACACAAAGCTGGACCCATGAGTTTGGTGAAATTGAAGAAGACAGTGTCTTGGCTTTGTATACAACTTAGCCTTCTTAATAATTGTTTTGTGAATCTTCCATGCTAACTATAACATTCGAATCTTTTATTAAGTTTTTCATTAACAAGTTTTAATAGATTCAACAAAATATGCTTGGCAATAATGCAGAACAAATAATAGGAAAAAAAAATAAAAGCGTTATGATGTACCCGACGATAACATGAGATTGGAATTCAAACAAACCGAGTGTGCTTTCGAGTTTTGGTTAGGTACATTTCTCTCGGGTAATGAATAAGAAATGATATTAAAACAGTACAAAGTTAAAACTCTGAATATTAAAACGATTAAAAGTAAAAATATGAAAACTATGATGCAAGAAGTATTCCTTGGGACTATTATAAAGTAGACTATAGAACAAACATATTATAACCAACATGAGATTCAAGAAATGCTCTAGCTTCCTCATAAAGTGGATAGTAAGGCTAGTCAACAGCAGAATATTCAAGTGCAATTTTTTTACATGGGAAGCGCCAAGGACTCACGTAGGAGAATTTCCACTCTTTCCTTGTATTCTTTCTCGGACACAAGTAAGTTCTTTTTCTCACAATCGTACAAATCTTTCAAAGCTTCAAGACGAGCGAAAAGTTCGTCAATCTTCTCATCCGAGAAATCAGGAACATCAGAAAGTTCTAAAGAAACCAAACCAATAAGCAAGACCTCATACTAACTGTACCTTGAAGGTCAACACATATTCCCAGAAGTGCGTAATCGGCAGTGCTTTCTTCTTTCTTCATTTTCTCCAAAACCACACTCTTCTGCTTAGAAGCACTGACAGAAAATAAGCAAGCTGAAAGATAAAAAATGACGTGATCTTTTGAATCAAACAACATACTCTTCGTTTCATCGAAATCTGGGACAGCAGGAGCTTTTTCTTTACTCTTTGACTGCTTCGCTGCTGGTGCCGTGAGCTCTTGTGAGGATGCTCTGAACGGGATTTTTATTCATTGAGTTTTTGCGAATTAACTGACTTCCTTTTCAAAGAAGAAGGAGAGGCTTTCCTTGGTGTCTCAACTTCAACTTTGGCTGGTGGTGCAGATAACGGAGTACGAGTGGTTCTGGGTTCTGTGGAACAGTTTTTCACAACGAAAAGAAGAACAACAAAACCTTGAGCCTTTGGTGTGGAAACGGCTTCCGTCTCAGGAGGTTTCTTAGTTTTGTCAACAGAAGCAGGCGGCTTCGTTACACTAGCTGGTGTTATCTTCGTAGAGACAGTAGGAGGAGTTGATGGAACAGGAACTGTAACTCTTGGCTGCAGAAAATTATGATGAGCAGATAATAGCTCAATCGTTGTTTTGGGTTCAATTAGTTAATGTTCAGAAAAATCGAAATATACTTGCAGACAGCAGGAAATGTTGGATCGAATGAAAAGTTGATTGAACAAAGCAAGGTGTATATATTTTTTGCAACGAATGATTGTAACTTACAGCTGGATCAGCAACACTAGCAATGATAGGAGTAACAGCCGTGAAGCTAGAAATAGAAGAAGGGACATCCGCTTGAGTTGGCGAGTCTGGAACTTAATATTATGCTAAACTTATACTTTAATAGGAGGAATACTCTTTGCCAAGGCTGCAGCAGTTATGTAGGCTGGGCTCGAAGAAACATTGGGAGTTGTAATAGGCTGTGATGAAGACGCCTGAGTTGAAGTAGTTGCAAGTGCTTTTAGGCGAGATCTTGCCAATATGGCAGGTGTTGACACTACCTTTACTGCTGCTTTCGTGGTTATGAGAGGTCTGCCATTCACAGTTACCACTGACGAAGATTCTTCTTGTTGACCAGGAGATGGAGATATGGATTGAACATCGAACTGAGGCTGAGGTTGTGAGTGGGATGGGGAAGGGGACTGTGGCAAAATCTGTTGCTGTAGCTGAGCGTGAGCTTGAGTTTGCAGTTGGGCTTGCAAATGTGCCTGAGTTTGGGCTTGCGATTGGAGTTGACTCTGGAACGAAGTCTGGATCTGATGTTGCAGCTGCGGTTGCGTTAAACGTTGCAACTGTGGTTGTAGCTGAGGTTGGATCTGGGGTTGCGGCTGATGTTGGAAATGCGCTTGCACTTGAGCTTGTGACTTAGGCAGAGTTTGAGCTCTGGGCTGAGGTTGTTGAACCTTAACTTCACATTGTTGTTGTAGCTTCAGTTGAGGCTGTATTGGAGGCTGTATTTTCCCCTGAATCTGTGATTGAAGCTGTGGCTGTGGTTGAGCTCGACCCTGATGTTGTAACTGAGGCTGAACTTGTGGTTTCGTTTGTGCTTTCGACTGATGTTGCGTTTGAGTCACTGGCTGAGCCTTGGGTTTAGACTGCGGTTTTGCTTGAGGTTGAGATAACAGCATAGGCTGCGCTTGAGAGTGCGGTTGATGCTGAGCTTGAGTTTGCAAGTTGTAATTTGGAGGAACAACTTGGTTGAACGCATGCCCAGCATTAGGAACTGGATGAAAACCTAGTCCCGCATTAACAGCTGCATTGAAACCAACGGGGTTGACAACTTGAGTGAAACTTAGTGCGGCATTGAATGCTGCACTGGGATTAAGTTGAGAGAAGTCTATTGCAGTACTGGGCACTTGATTGAAAGCCAAAGAAGTACTAGCACTGACAACAGGTTGGAAACCGGTAGAAGAAGTTCCAAACTGACTATTCACAATCAAAGAGCTTGATGTAGAAAGAGAAGTAGGGAAAGTGCTTGAGGACCCATTGTCCTTAGAAAAGTAGACTGATGCAGGAGAAATATATATAGATGGGATCGGCTTGATCAAATCATGGTATAAAGGTATTGAAACAGGAACTGATGTAACAACTAGCTTTGGTGGATTTAATTTTTTGGCCTAAAAAAAAATTGTATTCAATGTTTTCGAGTTGTACAAACCTTTCGCATAACTTTGAATCTCTTCAAGCCAATATGTTTCAGCATACAGACATCAAGTCGTTCTCGTCTGCACTTACTAGATTTCAGCAGCAGTTCCAACTTTATCCTTTCACCCCTGAGATTCTTTGTACGCACTCGCTTCTTAATATTGCAAGAGCTTGTGCGGCAAGCTCTCAAAAACCTCAGCTTTCGTAAATATGCTAGTACAGGATTTACAAAAATTTCTTCTGAAATGATGCAAGATGAACTCAAAAAAACTAAAAATTCTCACCTTCAACAGTTCCATCAGACGAACTTTTGGGCGTAGACATAGCCTTCCGTGAAAAGTATAATTCCGAAAGAGTTCTTTTCAGAAAGACATTTTTCACAGTAACTGCATCAGAAGATCGTGTGCTTGTTGATGTCTTAGAGGGAGGTTGACCTGCCTTAACTGTCTTAGTTTGAACTGCTTTGGTTGGATCCGAAACAGACACCGAAGCTACCGGAGTTACAGGAGTTACAGGAGTTACAGGAGTTACAGGAGTTACAGAAGCTACAGAAGCTACAGAAGCTACCGGAGCTTTTGCAGCTACCGAGGTTGATGGTTGGGCAAACTGATTCGAAGTGGTTGCAGTAGATCCCTTCTTCACCAATGGCTTGATACCTCTCCGCCTAACTTCCACATAAGGAACAGATGCTACGATAGCGGCAAGTTCTTTGAAATCGCAATCCCAATTAACTGCTATAGCCTTGTTGATTATAGCAGTTACTCGTGGAGTTTCTTGTAGAAAATAGTATACATCATCAGATGGTATTCTCATTCGTTCTCGGAACTGCTTAACAGGACAACGTCCGCTAAATGGCTGTTTCGTCGGAAGTGGTATGTGAATAATTGTTCCGTTTTCCAAACGTACGAATTTTAAATCGTAAACAGGTTCCAGAATGGAAATAGCTTTAGCCATGATCCGACCTTTAAGCTCCAACTCTCTCTCTTTTGATATCACTCTGGGAGGCATATCGCTTCCGTTATTACATGGAACTGGTTTGCCCTAAAATTTGGAACATTTCAAAGCTTGAAATAATTATCAACTAACCTCGCCCAGTGCTGCAGTTATAGCTGCACGTGAGTTCTTATTTCGTTTCTATAAATATAAAATTAAGGAAAATAAACATTTAAGATTGTTACGTTTCTTCCTCTTGGTGGTTTTTTGACACGACATGAGTTGTTTTTGAATTTCATGAATTTGTAGGTCTTCCACTTATCCAACTGGCTAGAAACAAACTTCCTCCTCCATCTTGTCAATCGGAAAGTTCTTCTCCTTCTGTAAGGGTATTTCGTGTGTCCACCTGAGAAAAAGACATTGTTCACAATATATTAAATGAAGTTTACCGAGATGAGCGAACTTTCGTGTGTATTTGTCGATATTGTCGGGAACCCATTTGAGTCGTATAGGCTCATCTTCATCAAGTACAAACTAAAATGGAAAAATCTAGAGCTTGAATGTTAAAACCACCTACCTTTGGATTAGACTCTTTGCTCTGCAGATAGTGGAACAAGTTGTACACACCATAGAATTTCAAGATTTTTTCCCACACTATCAGGTCAACTTTCAAATCTTCACAGATTTTTTTCATTATATGGCATCCCGCATATAAGTCCTGAAAAACAATCTGTTTGAAGTTCTATAAACTTATAAATATACCGCCGCCTTTATTTGAATATCGTCCAAATAAATCCATTCATCAAAGGAACTATCCCAATCGCTATAATGTACAAAAATTTGATTTGTTCTCCTTGAGGTTTCTAATAGTTTAATAATCTTTTTCATCCCGTTTTTCTGAAAGAGAAGAAATGTTACAAAATATAATAAGTTCTACATACTTGATGTTGCAATTCTGAGAATCTCTTAACTAATAACTCTATGGCAGGCTGGCTCATTTTGATCGTCTGGGCATCGTACCAATCTCCCTCATATTGAACTAGCACTGGTTGACCAACATACATTTTGACGAATCTTCAAAGCACATATTAAAAATGACTCTCTCAAGGATTCAATTACGGAATGCAATGGAAGTATCCAGGAATACTATATCGGATATTCACGATATTTTTCCTGATTTTCCTCTGTTTCCATCTTGGCCTCTTTACTTTTTTGATATGTTTAACTTTTTTCTTCTTCTGGAAAAAATAACATGAATTGGGTAAGAGAGAGTAATATTCACCTTGGAAGATTTCGCTTTTGATTTCCTAGTGACTTTTCCTTTGGTTGTTTCTGTAATTAAGCAGTTATTCCTTACTATATGATATAAAAAACCTTTTTTTGTAGTTTTTTCAGATGTCTTTGGCGTCGCTGCTTCGGCAGCGGGAAGTGTTGGTCGACGGTCTCTTGATCTTGAAGATGAGGTAGAAGAGAAATTTCCGATTGACCATCCTAGCCTTTTATGAAAAGCATCAAAATGGAAAAGGAATTTCTCATAAGCAGCTTTAACACTCTCTGGGGTTGCCTCAGGCACATTTTCTAACTTCATATCTACGAGAACCTGAAAATTATTCAAATATTTGGCATACGAGAAGAAAAACCCTACATCATCCCAATGATTATTCGCTGTTATGCGCTTGAAACCCCCATGCTCGTTAACTACCTCATGAAACATGTGTAGATCGAGATCTTGGTTGCCGATGACAGGTGCTACATTCATAGGGGTTCCTGATATGAAAAAACATTAAGGCAGTCACGAAAACTCAAAATACCTCGCTCTTCTTGGAATTTGTACAGTTGAGCAACAAAGAAGTTTTTCCTTTCTTCTTCATCTGAATTTTCCTGTTTAATTTTTTCCTCGGTCTTAACGCTGAAAAATACAATTTGTGAATTGACTTGATATCATCACTCACTCTTTGATATCTTCAAAGTAGGACGACTCTTTTTCCATTTTTATTGATTCATCGAACTTAAAAAAACATTATTAATTTCCTAAGTTTTTCATATTAATTCTATCTTACCTTCGGTCTTCTTGAAGCAGAAATGCCGAAAATATCCGACTTCTCCCACCCTGGCGGCAAAATATTCTTCTCTATATAAGCAAAAGCTTTTTCAACGCCCATTTTAATGTAAGCAGGGATTTTGCTTCTGTCTTTCAATTCGAATCGACTGATGAAGGTCTGATTGGCAGAATAACTAAAAGAGGTTAACGTTATCCGGTTTATTTCAAATACTTACTATCGGCTATTCTGAAGACTTCTCAGAGCAACTTCGTTAACACCGGGAACTTTAGCACCTTTAGTTGCTCTTTGATACACGGCACTATCTACTATTACGCCAGGGAACCATTTTCCTTCCAGTTTATCATTGTCGAAAATACAATAGACATCCCCAACCGCAAATTCACTCTAAACGAAGCACGATCTCGATATTCAACAGATGAGTAGATATACCGAAGAGGATTGAGGCAATGGCTTTCGAACTTTTTCAACAGGACTGTCAGAAGTTGAGCTCGACGAAGTATCCATTTTCTTCCGGCCTCTTTTTCTATCTTCTGGAGTGGAAGCAGTTGGTGTTACAGTAGACTAAATCAACAGAAATTGAAAAAGTAATGTAAAATGAATTACTCTTGTCTGCCGAACGGTTGAAAATATGAGTGACTTGGAAATGAGCCTGTTAGTTTCTCTTATAGATTTAGTCGAGCCTTCAACGGAGTCGTCATCATCTTCTTCACCGTCTTCTTCTCCATCTTCTTCTTCTCCATCTTGCTTTCGACGTTTACCTTGATATGCGTTTGCAGCAACTTTTCTTCTTAATTAGAATTATATTGATTGATCTCAGTGTCGCAGACAACTTACTTTTTATCTTTAGCGTCTCTACCTTTCAAGACGGGGGAACTGAACTGTTCAGGATTATACAGAGGGAGTGCATCCAAATTAACAGCAAAATGTTTAGGACTTTTCCGACAAATCTGAGATCTTTTCAAAGTTTTCTCATCACCATCATTGAAGACTGAATTGTTTTTCTAAGGAGAGGAAATTCAAAAGATACTCTTACCGACATGATAAGTGCTGTAATCCTTAACATAATGGAGGGTACCTTTAAAAGTTCCCTTTTCGTTCGTGAATTCAACAACGCCACCAAGCTCAAGAACCGAACTATTTTTGAAACTATCTTCGTCGACAAGCATTACTCCCAAAGGAGGATCTTTCACTAAGACCTATGATGACAACAGAAATGGATGAAGTTTGAAAAGAAACTCTTACCTTGCATTTCAAAGATCGTGATATTCTTTTTATTTTGGCTTCACAAAAAGCTCCTTTGAACTTTGCACTAACCTCCGTTCCCACTGGTAGGAAAGGAGGATCGTCCGACTAAAATAATAATTTCGATCAATATCCCGCTACATTTTCACAATTTCGAATGTTTTATTCTTTCAATGAAAGAAAAATATTAATTAGCAAACCAAAGAATATTTATAGAACACTTACTTGCATTATTAGTAAATTTAAAATATCCAAAAAATAAATTCAGTCCATGAGCGTGATAAAGCTGAATATAACTAACTAGAAACCAAAAATGTGCTCCGACGATTAAATGCGAATGAGTGCCTAGTTTCGGACGCGGCGCGTGTGCGTTGCGTATCGTTGTTCTGCCGGGCTTTGCATTGTCACCTATTCAAATGATAGGCTTCAATAATTCTTTCATGAAATTTCGAGTTTCTACTGGTGTTAATTATTTAAATTGGTTTCACTCGCATAAAGTGGTTGCATTCTATTTCCCTTCTGATATTCTCATTATCTGCTTCACATGTTCTTACTCCACACCTTTCAAATGATTTTCTTATTCACACATACAGTAGTGTGTAAGATATTTCAATCAAAACATTTGAGTCTTTATAGGCATACTCACGTGATCGCGAGAACTTTTCCTTTCAGAATTCGTTACAGAAATTTCGTCAATTCATCATATCTTATCAATACTCTTTTTCGAAATTTCAATTATCGATTTTTTCTCACGCGATTAGTGCGTTGTTATTCAAGACAGATATTTCCCTTTATAGCGATGTCGTACAGAAGCAACCGAAAAGATGCCAAGGAGTTGTCCAGGAAGAATCGATTCGCTGCTTTCGATCCCGATATTGCCAGTAGATATGACGACGATGATGACAGACCAGGTTAATTAGATTTCTCAACGGTGGAAACGTTTTATTTTCAGCTACTCGTGTTCCCAGACTCCAAAACCTTGGAAGAATTATCAATCAGCTTAAACCAGACTCCTTGCGCCGTAATCGTGACGTTAAACAGGAACAACAAATAAGAGGGGCTGCTGGTATGACTGGTAAAACAGATTTGGTTAATAAAATCAGGGTACTCGCAAACTTACTTTATTGATTGTTGAAGTCATAATTTAGATCCCCGGAGGAGAGAGATTTGGGCTTCAGTGGATTATTCGCAAGCTCAGTTCACAAATTGAAGAGTTCCGACCTTTGTTACCCACAATCACAAAAAAGAAGGATATTGAATTCTTTTTGAGAGTAAGGCTTAGTTGTCGTTTTGTATCATTCTTCATTTCAGAGCGATGATGTTGCCGAAGCTGTCGAGGCTGTGAGTAAAAGAATTGTTCACAAGGACTCAGGAAATAAAATTATTTTCCTGAGAAGTAAAGGTCAAGCTCCGTGGGCAAAACTATCGAAGCAAGAAGTTGATACTATTCATGTAATGTTTTATTTTTAAAAACACAAACATATAGTGTGTATTTAGGCTGTTGTGGATAGTCATTACGATGCTGGTAGCCGAGCTCTCTATCTGACTGAGTTCGCGTTAGATCCAGTCTTCCGAGCAAAAGATATGCATATGGCTTTGAGCAAAGGAAATGTTATGCTCACTGTCATTGAACGAATTGATGCACGATATGGAGGCTTGACTGCCTTAAGCTTGAAAGTGAGCCTATTTTACGTTTGAAGTTGTAACCTTAAAGCGTTCAGGGAAATAGATTGCGACAGTTAGATTTCGCTGCCATGTTAGTAAATGTCTGCAAGTTTATGTCTGTATTAGACTTATCGGATAACCAGGTTAATATTATTCTCCTCTATCTTTTCAATTTTTTTTTCAGATTGGAAACATCGAGCAATTGAATCATTTGAAAGGACTGCCAATAAAAACATTATTCTTCGAGGGAAATCCTGTTTGCGAACAGCTGACCAGAATTACGGATTACTTGAAGTATTATTTTTTCATTTTATTTCAGCTTAGAGTTTCTCTCATAATTTTGAATGTTTGCTTTATTTTCTACTTACCTTTAGTGCCATCCATCAAGTTTTTCCTCAAGTCTCAAGTTTGGTAAGCCCTTTCATACAATACTTTTTCTTAGCAGCAGTTTAAGGATGGAAGTCCCGTACAACCTGCGAGTTTAACTCCTCTTATCCCTGAGGACATCTCCAATGAACCACCGTTGAAGGTATGCTATGTTGTTCAGAACCTTTCTAACCCTGTGACAGGCCGGATTTTATGGAAATAATGATTTGAAAACACTAGTGGAGACTTTTGTTCACGAGTACTTCAAACAGTATGATGGCGAAGAAGGTGCCATCACTAGAAAGAATTTGATGGATGCTTATGACAAGGATGATGTTTGTAATGTCAAGATACCCTTGTTCATTTTTATATTTTCAGAGTACTTTGACTATCACTATTGCTAATTTGTCTGATACGGCATCCGTTCGTTATCATAATGAGTAAGACTGACAAACTTTTCGAAGACTTCACCTTAATATTTCAGCGACTGCTATGCCACGTATGCTAGATTGTCTCACAATGTTCTACAACAAGAAAAATTTTCAAGAAACAGATCAAATAGAACTTTGAAAGGTACATAACGTAGCTCAAAATGTAATCATGTTTATTATTTAAAGGAGCAATGGAAATTGTAGTTCAACTTGCGAAACTCCCCATCACCAATCACTATAGGGAATCATTTATTGTAGATGTTCATCTCATCACTGTAAGTTTCTTTGGCTTAATATTGTTGTGAAGCTATTCTTGTTCAGACTCAATTACTAGGATTTACTGTACAAGGATTATTCGAAGACGGAGAGTTAGCAAAGCCTGGAACTTTGCCGACATTAAATTATTTCTCCCGCTCTTTTGTCGTAGCTCCACGTGGTGCCGGGTAAGTCGGAACTGAACACAAAAACATCTGAACTCTGTTTTTAGTGCTGTCGCAGTGTTATCAGACATGTTGTTCATAAGTGGAATAACCACAGAAAGAATGGCTCGCTACAAAGTCCTTTTGAATAAGGTATTTCTGTTTTTATGATATTAGCATCTCTATCTGCTCTTCTAGTGTATATCAGCACCAGTGACTGTTAATAATATCACAGATAACTTGAATAGCTTAACGGTTTGTTTTTCATTCGATTTTATCGTTTAATCTTCTATGTATAGGCAACAGCCCCTCCAGAAGATGTTAGGAAGGCGATGGTCGAAAAATTCTCAATGTGAGTTCTTACAATGAGGCTTTGTTTTTTCAACGATCAATTTTCAGTGAGAGTGGAATGTTGCCAGAATGGAGTTTGAAGTGTTTGGAGGACTCGAATTGGGATTATCAGGTAATCGATATATCCCGGACACTTATTTCAATTATTAATTTCCAGGTCGCAGGACAACAGTTTCTAAGTTGTCGCGGACAGATTCCCAAAGAAGCTTTCGCCGCTCCCCAATAGTTAGTTGAAGCTATGATAAGCTCGTCCTTATAGTCACTTATATTTGAATTTAATGGAAAACGATCAATATCCTCAGTTGCAAATTTATTTTCACCATATCGTTTTTAGTATTGAATGCCACAAAAAGTGTATGTTCTCTTTAGTGTTCGGTTAGAGATATGATCCATACTTTACTTACCACTCCTGTTTCGAGATTCTGCAAGTTTGTCTGATGTTTTCTCTATCTATCGTTTTGCACTGTTTATCCTTCACCGAATTTCCCTCATCTGGTTCCATTTTCTCTGAAAATACTGCACCAGAATGAATTCCAAAACATCATTCATCCTCGTATATCTTTATGCACTGAAAACTCCCGGTGTATATTGTGAGATATGTGGAAAAGATGCTTATCAAATATAAGCTTATTTCCAACCCGATGAACTTCGACATTCAATTCAGTCAAGTCCCTATTTGTATATTCTCGAATCATTTCACATTCTGAGCTGTATTCGTAACATCTAGCTGAGGAGCTTCTTGGAACTAATTGTTTCATAGAAAAGCTCGGCCACAAAAAACGGAGTTCATCACATACCTCATGATTACCATGTTTTCCGACCAATACTGAGAAAGTCGCAATCTATCCGAGCAACCTAATATTATTTCATTTTTTGTTTTCTCTTTCTTTCTCATCTCAATCTCCAATACCCCCCCCCGTCGTTTCAAATTTCTCTCGCCCCCACTCCGCATCTTCATCTCTCTCTTCTCTTCCTAAAAGGTATTTTTATTCTTGTTTTCTTTGTAATTTGCTATTTTGCTATTTTCGTACAAGTAACCAGATAAGGCGAACCGATCTAAGTCTCAAACTTTCTAAATTTACGACATCAGCGAGGCTCCCACTTCAAAGCAATAATAGTTGATGACTAGTCTTACTCATCGAAAAAAACACCTTTAAACTCGAATTCTGTCGGAGCATCTAGTTCCGAGTGAGTTATTCCATCATATGGGTGTATAGATTGAATAAGATCTTAAGTCTTCTATTCGTTGTTCTTTTTTTGGAGTTTCGTTGATGTTAGGAAATGTTTTCGATTTCGAGGCTTACAAGGTTACCTTATTTGGGTTCCCTTTTCCACATTCTCATGTTGTTGCTTCTTGTTATTATTGTGTCTCATAGAAATGAGCATATAGTTATATTAACTAATTAATAAACAATTCATTTAAGATCGCAACCATTTCCTCTTGTTTTTTGTTTTTTTGCAAGAAAATAATAGTTTCAATCCTTGGAACCTGCAATGGTAAAGGGTAGATTAAGCAAAACGTCACTAATTGAATACCTGCCATAAATAAAGGGATTTATCACACTATTGAGAATAACTAGAAAGCCAAGTGGAAATAGAGCTTCCTGATAATCAGTGAAAGTATCGAAAGAGATAATCATCCACCTAAAAAATTTGAATCTTTAATTTCAAATTTTAATTAATGATACCATGTGAGAAGATTATAGGGAAGCCATGTGATTGCGTAGGTCAGAATTAGCAAGAGTGTAATCCTTAATGAGCGCACTTTCGCTCTTTTGAACTTGTCTTGGCCTCTGATAGGCCTTACTGCTACTGAAACTTCACACGGTTGAGATATCTAGATTTTCATAAGAAACATACCTAAACTCGTACTCTCTTTAGGCGCTACTCTTTTGCCACAAGTGGATAAACGGCTGATCTCACTCATGTACATCACAGACGATGAGTCTTGGTCATTGTTCAAAGTCTTATATATATCCTGAAATTATAGAATTCAATGGGTAACATGGTAATTTCCGAATTACTTTAACAATTAGAAAATAGCAAACTACTAGGATAAACAGTGGAATGTAAAATATAATTATAACATGCTGTATATCATAGAATTTCATCCACCACATGTCATCCTCTGTCATCATGACTGAAGGGTCAACTCCCGGGTTTTGTAGTCGTTCCATACGCTCCAGGCTGATTTTGTTTGCCCAAATTGACTGACACTGCGTGATGTTTGGAAATTCAACCTGAGTTATTGTATATGATGTTGTTCATAAGATTTTCGATACTCACCTGTCGCCATATGAAAAGTTGTGGTGAAGTTGAAATAGCAGCTAGTGTCCATGCTGTTGCGAGCATCCTTGGAACTTGACTATGCCCAACAGCTGATACCCATAATGGGTATCTTAATGCCGTTAGACGATACAGAGCAACGCAGACCATTATATTGGAGCTGAAACATTGTCATAAATAGAAATCTCAATATCGATTTAGTCAATGATAGGGCTAAGAACTTCGAAAAAAATTACCTTGCCGCCCACACGAATGCATCCAAAAATCTCATAATTTTGCACATAGCATTTCCTGCTAGCCATTGACTAGTAATGAGCCATCCCATTAAACCTGGTAGATGAACTCCTAATACCTGAAACGAACTCCTGCTACCGAAATGAATAATTGTTTGACTTACTAAGATGTCAGATATATTCAAATTAATGTGAATTAATAAAAGAAAACTCCTTGCGTGTTGATATCGTTTAAGCATATAGATGAGTGTAGATATATTAACCGGTAAGCCAACTATGAATAGTATGAAGAAAACAATTAGCTGAATCAGATCTGATGTCAATAGATTTCCAATGACGGGAGTTGGGAAAGTCGAATTCGATGAAAGTTCTTCCATCGTTTCCTATTTTCGTTCTGAAAAGAATACTTTCTTCCTAGTAGGGAAACGAATGTTAACAAAGTACAGCATGAGAGCGAGAAAAAAGAAGTGCAAGCATATCATGAAAATGGAAACGATGATGTAACCTCAATAATTTACTTTCTAGTTGATACTTCACATAATTATCTTCACGAGTTTACGTCACTTAACCACATACACATACGAACATGAAATGATAAATTAAGATGAAAAAGAGTTTTGAATGTTCTGTGCAGCTCGGGTGATGGCTGGAAATGGGAACAACCGCTTGCTAGCCTGCTTCAAAGGGGAATGTAATTGACTTACCCTGCCATTACACGACCACGTAATACTACTTATCCAGAATACGTGAGAAAAGATTTGAAGAACAAAGTGTAACTTGAGGATGGACTATTGTCAGTAAGAAAGAGGATGAGATTGAAAAGAGAATACAGAATGGATTAGATAATTCTGGAGAAAAAAACAAATGGTGATATCGTTTCAGATGGTCATCAGAGAACGCTTTTGTAGTTGTTGTGTACTTTTTGTATATTTATTGAAGATATGTCTTTGAAGAAATGTCGGAATACTAAAAATCATAGGATTATTGCTATTCTGTTATCAATGGAAAATTTTGAAGCCTTATAGAATCTTTGGAAATGAAGATAGTGGGATAGATATGTGTACAAACTTCGAAGTTATAATTAGTTTTCTCCAAAACTAAAAATGAAAAGATCAAATAGACTCAGGACTGAGGCGTTGATGTCAAAGCGTAAAGTTCTAGAAGAATAGCAATTTTGGCTATCCCGTGTCATAACTTCCTCTCATAAGCAGTCTATCTTTTATATTGATATCATCCATGTCATTATATCAAATGATAAATAGCTTTATGCTATCCTGAACGAGCATTCCTGTATGATTACGTTTATACTCTCATAGATCTTGGACTTAATCGGCTGTCTTAAAGGTTGAGCTCTGGTGGATCAGACGGCACACTGAGGTGAGGTCAGCATTATGCATATAATTCATGAAACACGACATAAAACATAACTATGGCTAAGTGAATAATTTGAAGAGAAGTTGTCTTCTAAAGCGTAAACTGCACAAAGACTAAAAGTCAGACGAAAGTTATTCATTTCCATACATATTTAAATATTCGATCAAGGTGCTATCACTGATTTCATTCAACAAGCTTGTTGTTTCGTCTTCTGAGCTACATTTGTGCTCACCGGAAAACCCGAAATAGCCGGCCGGTTGATGTATGCAGTCGAAGTCCCTAATTTTAAAGTTCGTACATCAAATGTAGGAAAATCTTGTTTCATGCTGTATTTGCTGCTTAATACAATCGTTTCATTTTTGCAAATCTCAATAGAAATAAGTTGGCGAAAATCGTCAAAAATCAATAAGACGATGATGAGCATATTTTTTTTGAAAGGTTCTCATATACACAAAAAATAGACATAAACGAACAATGAAGAATATAATTTCCGACAAATTACTGTTTCCGGGGCATTACTAATTAAAAATTTGGGTTTTCTGTTGTCGTCTCAACACACTCGTGGTGTAACGAAAAAAAAAATTTTTTTTTCGCGGCAAAAGACCGACTTTAATTTTAATTGAAGTCAAAGTGACTCCCGAAACATTAGGCTTAACAAAATAGGAAATATCTCTCTGTAATTCCTTTTTAGATCGATTGACTTTGGTAACATGAGAAAGATAATACATTGTAAGGAGGCGTATGATTACATGTAGAATGATAAATATGAATTAACGAATTTTCTTTTTGTTGTTCCAATCTATCTCTCAGCCATAAAAAAAAATACTTCTCTATTGAACAGAGTATGATGAAGTTTAAATTGACATGAGCTTATCTCGATAAACTGACAGATAAAGCTTCTATAGCCGCTCATGAAAGAGCAAATCCTATAAACAACATATAATCTTCATCTTAAAATGGAATACACTCTTACGAACTCTTATTATTCTAAATAATTAGCATTCTAACGCGTTTTGGTCTTAGTGGTTGGGCCAGCGTTCATATAGTTTTAATTTTCGAAATGTGATACGCATGATCCGGCTGCACTTCCTTTTAATATTAATAATTCTTCGTAATTGTTTTATTCCCGTTATTTTGGCTATAATTCTAAGTTTGCGTCGGAGAGAGCGGAAGGAATTCAAATTGTTTTGTCTTACGTCTTCATGGTGAGCATTAGTCTTCGTTGTGGAGCAAAATGAAGAATATTTAATTATTAAGATGAATGTCTTATAGAATCAGGATGCAAGAAAGAAGTATAAGAAGAGAAAGATGATGATGAATTCGGTTCGTCTTATGATGGCTTACTTATCTTATGCAGGTGGTAGCACAACGAAAGCGGAAACAGAATCGAATGATTTTCCATACACCTCGATGCAATTCCTAGAATGAATCCTGGTAGGATGAGGCTGCGATGTGGGTGGAGAGAGCTTTCATGCTCACTATATCATGTATTTTTCAAAATATAGGTTGGTGAGTTAGAAATGGTTTAAAGCATATATTAGATAGGGAAAGAGATGGTTATAAGAGTAGTATGAGTGGTGAGTGTTCAATAACTCCGGAAAACCAAATAGATCTGAGATACTGGCAAGATTTAGATCCACTTGCAAGGCTGTATATCGTTTTCGTTTCATTCAAAAAGAGCTTATTAAGAGACTTATTAAATTTCTCTATAACAATCAATGAGCAGCAGTCAAAAAATAGAAATGTACTTTAAGAAACAAATAAAGATGTTAATTTTTTATTTGAATAGAACCAATCTAATATGGAAATTGTCGGCTAAGAACACTGTAACAGGAAGTAGAAGGAATGACTCAGATGAGCTTGCAAATTGATGAGAATATTGTCAAGTTTAGAGTATAAGTGAACATTTGTTTTCTTCATCAAATTTTAGGCCTATTATGACATATTGAATAGCATACTTTCTATCCAATTAATTTTCTTTTTATTCTAAACAAGAATATGCGTTTGCAGAGAGGGAGAGAAAGAGAAAATGAGAAGCAGCAGGATGAGAATACAGCTTGATATATTAGACGTCAATAGAGTTTTTAGGTAGCTTTAGTAGAGGTAGCGATATCGTTGATGACAACTATTAAAAGAAATACATGCTGAGAAACATGAGAAGACAGAAATAACTTGACGCTGCAAGAAGCTTCATCATAAACGGAATATTATATGGGATCACAAAGCAAGAGAGAGAGAGAGAGAGAGAGAGAGAGAGAGAGAGAGAGAGAGAGAATGCAGGAATATGTATTATCTCCATATTTCCACAATACACTTTTATCTTAGGTATAAAAAAAAATAGAAAGCCGCCTGAAACGGTAGTCAATGGCTTCTGAATAAATATTCCATTTTTCTTTTTTTCAGTTTGCCCTCCTCTTTCATGCTTATTTCGTCCCTCCCATTCTCTTCGCAGTTCTTTATTTCTTTCTCCCCCTTTTCACTCTTTCTCACCCACATTTCTATATTAAGAACTCATTCACTTCAGTTAATCTTTTTTTCCCGTTAAGTTATCATGTTTGATAATGTCAGATTATCAATTGATTTGACTTGATTCGCAGAAGTACTATTCAAGCCTGCAATCAAGAGAATTCATAGATTAGAAGAAAAACAGGCAAATCCGAAAAGCATTCCTCCAACCATAGCTCAATCTTGGAACTCTAATCCCAAACACCAAATCAATACTATATATGAAGCCACCGTATAAAAAAATCTTCAATTTTTAACAAAGACCTTTTGAAATATCTTGTAAAGAATTGTTTTCTGAAAACTGTGAGAGAATCATTCTCGCGATACTGCAATCTGCACAAATGAGAAAACAAGACAATTATTTACACGAAAGTGTTTATTCCAAATCATCGTACTCATCAATATCGGAAAACTGATCATGTAAGTCGAAATCTGCATTATTAATTAGATCATTAGCAGCAGTGAAATCATATAGAGCTCCATCATTATCCTGGAATGCGGAATGTAAGTTAGACAATTCGTGGGAGCATAAGCTTATTACGTTATTGTTCTGTTTCTTATATTCAACAAGCTGTAATAATACATGCTCCATAATCTTTTTGGCTCCTTTATCTTCAGAAGCCAATGATGCTGTTATTCCTAAGACTTCTCCTACTTCTCGAATATAATAATCCAGGTCATCTTCATCGCCTTAACAAAAACAATTTTTTCACCCAAGTTCGAAATATGATCGGCTCACATTTGTTTGTCAATTGAGCTAGCCTAACTTCTTGACTGCTGAACATTTCATCTAAATCGAAAAGTTCCAACTTAGGAGGTGGCAACTCTCGAAAATTTGGTGGAAAAACCTGAAAAATATCAAAAAAATGCTTTTTCTGAGAAACTCTCAAACCGCTGGATCTAATGGTGGTAAAGGCACCTCAAATTGAGGAACAATTAAAGTAAGAGGTTCCGCTTTCACATTAAGTTGCTCATAAGCTCTAAAGAAAATAACAATTCCGATGTCATAACTGATATGAACTTGTTAAGTTGTACCTTAGGACTTTCGGCCAAACAGACAAATCGAAACTAGCTAACGAGTTGTCGAAAATCTTCATGAAGTCCAATCCCAGAGTATTATCAAAATCTCCTTCTTGCATGCAGACCTGCAGAATATGTCAGTTCATCGCATGTCAAAGCCTATGGACGCTTTCATTCTTTTCAACGTCAACTTGCGACAAGATTCGAATCAAAAAGTGATGAAGTTTGCAAAGTTCCGCATTCTACATCCAGTTGAACTTTAAACTCAATTTCAAACCTTCAACTGTTGCGATAGATAAACGTGATCTGGTATTGTGTGATAATCGCTCAATTCAGGATCGGATGCATCAATCTTGTTCAACTCCAAGCCATTCACCAAATACTCCATTAGAACATCCTGAATCCAAATGATATTGCCAAAGCTCTCAGGAAACTTACAAAGATTTTTCCATTTTCTTCTTTTTCAATATATTGGTCTGTAAACATGTGTACTGAACCACAAACTACAATTCTTCCTCCTCCATTCTGAAAGAATGATGGTACATTTGATAAGTACGTTGAAAACAAACTTCGGTTTGATGTGTGGCACATATTGGACGGGAAATAGGAAACGATGTACTGCCAGACGAAAGGATAGCGGTAGATAATCTGTTCACGGATATTGTGGCTCCGAAAGGATATACAAAAGTTAGAGATCTATAGAAAACTCTCTTCCAGATTATCAAAAGATCCCCTACTGAGAATTATTATTTTGGTCATTGGTAACCGTCTTTTTAGCTGCTTCACCAATTGCTCGATTTATAATTCCATTTGATATCATTGCTTCTTTGGGATCGAAATACTTGAAAAAAATTGTCCGAATGACAGAATCTGGAAGGTTATTGATGAAAGCACATCCTAGATCATTCTACTCACCGCTATTCACGAAAATTCCATATTCCTCCAACAAAAAATTTATGTTTGTATCTGAGCCTTGTTCGCCTCCTTCTGACATCAACACAAACAAGCTCCCTCCTGAACTGATATACTTCCGAATAGCTTCAATCTTAAGAACGAGACGAATGTATGAAAGAAGAAAATGTAAACCTCTGTTATGTTGAACTTGGCTTTAGGATGAGGTATAATTAGTAAACGAACATTCTCTAGGCTACCGATTGTTATTTCCTCCTGATTTCTGCAATTTTATATGAACAAAAAACAGAAATGTTTTTAAGAATGACGTTTGACGCTCATAAACTCACATTTCTACCGTCCATGAGCTGCGTAACCTTCTATTTATGTTTCTTAGTGAGTTATGAATAGTGAAGGTTTCCTTTTTCGACTGATCGATCAAGATCTTTGTCCCGTTCCCTCCGGACATGAGGGGCTACAAAACAATTGTTAATTTACGAATAAAACTTATGAAATATGATATACCGCAGTAACGCTAGATCGTCGTCTGAAGTCTGTAGCATGCATTGTTTGTAGAAGTAAGGTTAGAACTGAACTGCGCGTCGGCGTTGCTAGGTTACCTCAGCACAATCTATGCTGGCGCGTAGAGCAAATCTAGTAGTCCGTTTATGAGATAGATTATAAAAAGAAGACTGTACGAATAAACGATGTATTGAATATTGAATAAATAATACAAATTATAGTTAAAAGGCTATCACAGACAACAAAGGCAAAAAATTGAGAGTCATCAAAAAACAGATTTTAAAACCCAAAAGTTAACCCGAATGGGATATCAAAGAGTACTACATAGAATGTTTACCACATAAGTTTAATCGTATTCATTTCTTGAGGCTGAGTTTCCAAATTTGTCAAGGTTTCGCCTTCATAAAGCATAGTTAATGACGAAGATTGAGCGTTTTTGATGTTAGACAGTAGACTTTTGAACTCAATCTGCAAACAGAAAAATAGCTATGAAACAATAAAATTCACTTACTGAATGGGATTTCGATGCACAGGAAGAGGGAATCTGTAAGTTGCTTCTACAATCAACCATAGGACGGAACACTATGAGAGCTGCCTCATTTTTGGATGATACTTTAGGCTTATTTTCATAATCAACAGGTTGCGCGCTTGTTCTGAAACAGGACTTGAAAGATGTGGTATTCTAGGTGTCATACCTCAAAGCAACAATATGAACATCACAGTTAAGTTCATCCTTCAGTCCTACGAACGATGGAGCCGTTAAGACGTCTAAATGACCAAGTAGAAAACTACAACACTCTTCAATATACCTTTCCCCATCATACGAATCCATGGATAGTGAATCTCCTGTGATTCCATATGAGCGGAAGAAGAAAGGAAGCCAACTCTCGCGTTAACATCTTCATTTGACTTAGATAAAGGCTCGACCAATAATCGGAATCTCGATAATGTTCTTTTGTTGTCCAGCACTCCCTACAAAGGAATAATCAAGAATTCCTTCTATTCTTTAATATACCTGGAAAAGTCCTCTGCCATCATCTTGATTGAGCCTACGATCCAACATCACTTCCATATGACCTTCATAGAACAACATATAATTGATTAGATGAAAGTTAACTGACCCGATTTCAAGCTTGCAACACCTAAGGCTTGAGCACCCAAAAGAGACAATCTTGTCGACGAATCCTAGAAGTAACATGATGAAAGTCTTCGAGTTCAATAAATAACAAACCTCTATGAACGCACTGCCAGGCATTGGATAGTAATGGGCTTGCAAAGGAAGTTTGGATAGCATACGTTTGCGGCGGATAAGCTGAATAAGAGTTATGATTCAAGAACTAACTTTTTTCTGGCAAACCTGTAGCCCGTTTAGATCTGTGTAGAGATCATCTCCGCTATTAACAGAACTGATGAAACGCATAGCTAACTCGTAATTAGATTGAGATCTTGAGCAAAAATATGTTTGTAAAATATATTTCTTTATTTACCTAATATCCACTTCAGTTGCATAATCTATGCTGGGGGATCCTCGGAATAATGTGGAAACCTGGTGAACTTGTGCATCACCTGGACCGGCTATGATGACTTTACTGAACACAGGACCGGACAAGGCCTTAGATACAATTATTCGAGAGAGAAAAGAAACTGATGCTGACCACAACTTCATTGTTAGCACTGCTTATCTCGTTAGCTTCCCCATCAGGCAAAAATAGATATGCGCCGGAGAGATCATCACCTCCGCCATTATTCACTATAAATATTATTTGAAGCAGAGACAAACAAGAAAACAAATGTACGAAACTAAGAGGACAATGACAACTTACACATTCTTTGTTTAAATGTAACTTAAATAAAGGAAAATAAGGGCTTAGGATTTAAACTTACTTCGCTTATGAGGACGTGCACCATAGTGCATGAATTTCATGTCGACGTTAACAACAGAGCTGCCTTGAGGAGTGACACTCTAAAGAGAATGTGAAAGAGTGTGAGAACTGATTATTTCGTGATAACCTTAATATATCCTGTGGAACCATCAAAAATTGCTTCTAATAAATCGTTCTTCAAAACTATATCTCCGTTCAACAACTCAGTAGAAAAATCGCTATAAAACATCGAGTAGATCAGTCACTTTCGATAAACTCACGGATGTATTGTCTCAACGTTGGATGATACTTTACTCTTGGTAGATGTATCTCCTTGAACAACTCTGAACACTTGAGAAGACAGTGGTTTTATCGGATGTACGAAACAAAGCTGGAAACTCATGGATATTGTTTTCTGTGTTTCTCATACAAGCGTACCTCGAAATTATCCGGAATAGTTACTAACTTGTTTTCGGAAAGCTTGAAAGCTGGAGCGATTTGTTGATCATTCTGCAAAAAAAATTTGATTAGCATGGTGAAGACGAGTTTCCACGCGGTTGAGTTAATCAAATGTTCAATGAACGTGGATAGAGGAGGTTGCACTTACAGTCTTCACGCCATCAATCACAAGGTTGTTGTTGGATACTGTTATGCATATCGGGGTGTTGCGTGTTCTACCAAGCGAGTTGAACACAACAAGAGCACTTAACATGAAATTATTATGGAACTCGATATAAAACTGACTCTCCGTTCACGAATACACGTTTGTTGGGTAATGCATCCTGCTCATCTCGAATTTCATGCATTTTCAGATCGGATGAGATGCCTAACTGTTGACCTAAACTTTTTGACAAAGCCTTCTCACAGAAGTAAAGAGCATCTAGCATTCTGAAACGAATTATTTCTCGTATAGTTATCTGATCACACACTCTCACCTTTGTCCATAATCAATTACTACAGCATCCTTTGCTGTGCCAGTAACTCCATCGTGATGTTGGAACAGCGAAAGAGCTCTTCGAGCTCTAACCAAATCATCAAAAACCTAGCAATCAGAAAACTTTCAGAAAAGATTGATGTTCACTCACTTCATTAGTATCGAAACCATTCAACTGTGATAGCGTGTAAGCAATATCAGCAGATCGAACATAATGCTGAAGAACACGATCCATCTGCTTGTAGAAAGGCCTAGACGTGAAGTATCCTGAACAGGGACCTTCAGATACAGAGACAATTGAGTGAGTTCTTACCACTCCAATAGTGATCATCTCTATCAGCGTAAGTGAAGAAGTCTCCAGTAAGAGTGGGCAGCTTGCTTTCCTCTTTCTCTAACTCTTCAGACAGAGCTTTGAAGTAATCGGATAATGTTCCAAACGAGGCCTTCAAAGTAGGAGTCTTGCGTGGTTTTCAGAAGTGCTGATACCTTGACGTTCCATTTTGCTTTGGAATTCATGTGAGCCATCAGTTTTTTATAATTATCATGTTGCTCATTCCATTCGAAATCGGATGCATATCTTGAATGACATTATGTTACCTAGCTTTGAGATTGTGAGAACCTGAAATCATCTCCGAGCGGAATAAGAAGAACATTTGTTTTATAGAGCTGACTCTTCTTTCTATATTGGTCATATAACATGAAAGCTCTTAAATTTAGAATTAGATAGGTCATGAATTTTGATTTTCAAACCTTTCCTCGACATTATTATCGTTAATACGTTGTGGAGGAACATTCCAGGGACAACTATGTCCTCCACCAGGTAAACGGCTAAGCGAGTATTCGATGTAGGACTATTTATCTAGCAACAACTTACTTGAAATCAAACTGACAACAGATTCGAGGCTCAGGTCCACAGGTGTGTGGAATATCATAGGAATAAAAGGGGAACATATGCGTTCTGACATCTTTCTTTCCTCCTGAAACAAATTAGTGTCAAAGTTCAGATTATTTGACATACCCCAGAGTTGTCTCCACATGAATTCGAGTTGCTTATTTTTTGCTAAATGTTTCTTAACAGAATAATGAACTCTGTAAAAAAAACTTCTTTAAAGATCAATTGAGTCAAGCTACCTCTGAATGGCAGCGTTTGTAATGTTTGCAGCGGAGAGAAGGAACGGTAACGTTGGAGACAATCCGAAGGGATCGATAGACCAATGGGAATTCGGGACAAAATCTAAAAAACTCTAGTCACTTTTGAATCATCTCTGCCAAGAGACCTGCATGATTTTTCAACCACTCGTGTCCTTCAAACAGCTCAGTCACAATGGAGAAGTAATGTGCATTAGCTTCATCAGTCATAACCCATCCTCCAGTAACAATTTCGAGCTGCCCCTCTTTCAAAAACCTTACAGACGATGTTCATGCTTTCGTTATTATCAACTAACTTTTTCACAGAGTCTCTGACCTCCGGAGTCTGTTCTCTCCACCATAGTTCGAAGAATGACATCTCCGCATAAATGAACTTCATATCCGGCTGAAATTTTCAAATATAAAGATAAACGCACGATAACACACCTTATCTTTCAAATGTCTCGCCATGGCCGAGAGTATTTCTCTTGTTTGATCAGAATAATACTGCTCAAAAGTTTTGATCCACCCTATAATGAATGAATAATTGTTTAACAAACAAGGGATCTCACCTGGATCACAGTGAGAGTGAGGAATGACAATTACTCTCAAATGGTTATTTTCTTCTTCTTCACGGGTATATTTCACCTAAATGGTCCATGAGATTGGAAACAAACGATAAACATACTTCCCATCCTTGTTTCCAAACACCTCCATCAGGATTATCAAAAGGAAGAATGTCATAGATATCCAGCATCTTAAAAAAAACGTTAATCTGAACCATCAATTGAAACTACTTGTAAATCTGATTCTGTATGGGAGAAGTTTGAAGCTAAGCGGCAGACATCCTTATTTGAAGTTAACCGACTATTATGAACCACAGCAACTTTGTTACGGAAAACTGGCTCAGGTACAACTTGTTTACCATCTAAAAAATTTGGAATAAAATGTTTTTGCGGATGACTCCTCACCATGCTCATCTTCTACAGCTTTATGATCAGCGTCGCCTTCAAGTTGGTCAACGTTTTTAACTAATTCAGCTTCTGCTTCTGCTTTTTGGTCATAAACTATGTTTTCATTTTCTTAAATATAAAGTAAGAAATGTAAACAGAATTAGAGAGCACCTATTTTTTTCCGTTTACTCATCTTTTCCGCCTGTTCTAACTCCTCTTCCATCTTTTTCATCGCTTCCCGATTCTCAAGAAGTTGTTTATTCATTTCTTCAACTTGTTGCTTAAGAGCTTTTAATTCACCCTAGAAAATAAGTATTTAAAAAAAATATACAGTTCCACTCACCGTGCGACTAATAGCTTCATTTCGAGATCCGGAATCAAGATTTGCATAGAGCGAAACACTGATTAGAACAAAAGTAACAAGAAGAAGTCCAAAGACAATGTTTTTATTCCCTGTCCGAGCCATTATGGCCAGGAATGTAGTACTTGGCTTGTATTTTTGATAAATACTTGGTTAAGCCAGCTTTATCGGGTCTGACGTGGGTATGCCAAGATAATAAAATGAAACGAGTACGCAAGGTTGCGTTTAAACCAGAATGCAAAATAGCTGAGCGGTGTTTCTTCATGTTGCTAGCAGAATTTATGTTTGCTTTTGATTTTTCATTTTATGAAATTGATCATTCTGAAAAGCTTGCATGAGCTCCCGTAAATTAACTGTTTCCAAGAAATCCTTCAATAGTTTCTTTCAATAATCTTCTAATTATGATATCTTACACTTCGCGATGATTGAGGTTTTATGTTAAACATTGATATTCAGGCTTTGGTGTTTAACAATAAGGAGTTGTCATGTTAAACATCAGTAGAAAGGTTAGTAGTTTTTCAATTTCTTTTTTTTTATTCAATGTTACTGATTTTTATGAATTAATCTTCTTTTAGGGTCGTTCCTCAGTGAACGTTGTGAACCCAATCGTTCAGAATTTGAAGCTTCAAAAGAAATTCAATCACTCCAATGCTCCTCCTCGTAGCAGTGGAGGTGGCGGGTAATAATTAGATATTGTTTCATTTAACTTTCTTCTCCGTTTTTAGTGGTAAGTTTCTTCTTGGAACCACGGGCCTTGGTTTAACCGGTGTCAGTGGAGTTTTACTGTATTCATATGTCGATCCATCTTTCCGCGCTAATGTTGAAAGTAACTTCCCTTTCACTAAACCTCTGTACAAGTCAATTTTGGGTGATAACAGGTATTTTATAATAAATTACTGTTTTTGTAACATTCTACTTCAGCCAAGCCCTCACCCTTCCCACACCAGTGCCCTCTCAAGGACAAGTTAAGGTATCATTTAATGATTTACTTTGTTTGATACCTAACCATTCCAATAATTAGATGCTTTTGCCTAACAAGAACGACGAAAAGAGGGTTAAGAATAAAGAAAATGTTGAAGAGAATGTTGAAAAAGTTTCTCATTTCATATTGATCAAGTTCTGTTTTCCAGCCTCTCTCTGACTCAACCCCAGACACTCCAAAATCTAAACCTGTAGACATCAAGAAAGCACCTGTAAAACCAGTGAATCCATTCGTTGGACCAGAAGACGCTAGCAGAAAGAATCAGAGTATGTTTAACAGGAAAAAAAAAAGAAAGAAACTTTTTCATCTTTTTTAGGTTTGGAACAACAATTGAAAGTAGCTATTGCTAATGCTGAGAAAAAAGTCAGATCTGCTACGAACGCCAAGAGATTGACCATTCTCTCAGTTGAACGTCACGTTAAATCTATGAAGGTCAGTGTTTGTTTTTCTCAACTCTAGGTTACATGATTTTTTAGGAAACTATTGACAAAGGACCTAATGCTGCTTGGGACGATGTTGTATCCGCTCACAAAGAAGCTGAGAGGAAAACTTCAGATGATATGGAAGCCGAAAAGCTTGCTCGTATTGAACTTCAGAATCTTGTTAAGGTATTCATATTGAAATTTAGGTTTTTTCATAAATTTTTATAGATCATCAATCTGGGATCCGAAGGAGAAACCACTGCTAAAAACCCTCTTCTTTCCATAGCCAAGGAAACTGCCGCAAAATTCGAGAAAGAAATTGATGAAATGCTCGATATGATCAAGAAAGTAAGTCTTCACAAGTAACAAGCAAACAGTTCTCCCCTACAGATTGATACTGAAAGAGTCTTCATTAGAGATTATGGACATTTAGTAGAGGAAGGCAGAAAGCAATTTACTTCAGAACTTAAGTAAGTTCTCATTTGAAAACAACGGAATGAAAGTTATTGTTCAGGGCTATAATGCCCAATGCCAATTGGGATGTTGAGTTGGGAAAAATGAAGGAGGATCAAGTCAGTGCCCTGCTTTTACATGCTCATCTGAAAGTTGATCAACTGAACCGTCAACTTGTTCTGCAAAAAGTGAGCGAGGCAATCTAGATTGAACTTCTTCAACATATTTATGATAGATGGAAGAAGAAAAGAGAGTCACAGAGTTATTGGAACAAAAGAAGTTGGAAACTATCAATCAGGTTTTGGAGTCAGCTAAAGCATCCGGCGATGACTCGGAACTCACCAGCAGACTTGATACTCTCAAGAAAGACTATGATGACGAGTTAAAAACTCAGTTATCTGTTATTGAACAAACCTACGACTCTAGGCTGAAGGAGGTTAGAGATTTTCCAGAAATTGCGTATTATCATTCTTTCAGGTTGTTCTCACTCAAAAACAGTTGTATGATATTGAACACGCAAAAGATTTAGAAGAAGCTGTCACTGCTGAACGATCTGTAATTATTATAGTTTGTGCTAGATCTGATATCATTTTCTAGGTCCACTCAGCTAAGTTCGGAGCTGCTATTTCCCAATTGGAAGGAATCGAACACGCTCTCAATAGCAGAGTTGTGCAGGTAGTTCAATTTCTACATTCACATAAAATAATTTTTTGTAGGATGCTGAGAACAGAAGATCTAAACAAGTTTGGCTTGCTGTTCAAAACCTTGTTGACTCTATCACCTATGGAAAGCGTAGTTCATGCTGCGTTGAGGGACGTCGCCTCCCTCTCCAAGAGCAACTTGATGTAGTGTTATATTTCTAATCAAAACAATTTTTATTATTCCAGCATATTGTAAAACATTCTACCAATGATGAATTTATGAATGTTTTAGTAAACTCAATCAGTCAGGAATCTAAGGTTAAGGGAGAGTATACTACTGAAGACTTGAAAAATCGTATAGAAAAGGTAAATCTTTTCCGAGTATCTGAGAATTACACGCTCTACTTTCAGGCTATCCGTGTCAGTCATAGAGTTGCTGCTGTTGACGAGAATGGTGGCGGACTTGCTGCCCATGTTATGTCATACATTCGAAGCATCTTCTGGCTCCGATTGCCAGTTAAATATAGCGATAACGATAAGTAAGTGATATGTCTAGTACAGAACTAAATATTGGTAACAGGTTTGACCCAGTAGCTGAAAGTAATGAATCTTTGTTGGATCGCGCGGCTTATTATGCGCGACATGGACACTTATTGGAAGCTGTGAAAGTTCTCCAATACGTGAGAGGACCAGCTCAAGCGTAGGGAGTTTAGTTTTTCTGATTCATGTTTTTATTTTCCAGTATTGCTCATGATGTCGTTAGAGATACCCGAAGACACGAAGAAACCTTATTAGTAGCACGTTTGATGTTAGCTCATGCCGCAGTAACTTCTATGCGCTCGACTTACTAAAAATATAGATTGGTTATATTTATTAGTACATAGTGCCTAGAGCATTTACTGAGGTGTTTGTTTCCCATGTTCAATAGATTTTTAATAAAGTAGGAAATTATCTTTTCTGTATGATGTTAGAACCAAGGATTTGCAATTGAAAAATCTTCCGGCAGTCTCCGTGTGTTGAAGATGAACGAAAGAACTTACATTACCTGTGGATGGATGAGCTCTAAATTGTTAGTACTTACAGTAAGGATGTTTCTGCAAGCTGCAGCATTCAACTAGAGCGCGCCTAGAGCAGCTCGGAGATGATATTGAAGCAAAAATCTACACAATACATATCAAACCGTAGAATTTTGATTGAAAGAATTGAGTTATTATCATAAAGATATTGAACACTCTCGTAACAGTATGGTTGTTTAAGCGGTTCTCTAATTGAATTCTAGTAGTTTGATATTTCCTAATATAGTAACCAAAGAAAACATGAATGTCGGTTTCGAACTTTGATGACTATCTAGAAATTTGTTCCGTTCAGTTCTGCTGGAGGATGTTAGAGAACCGCTTGAACAACCATTTTGTTACGAGGGTATTCAATATCTTCATGATAATTACTCAATTCTTTCAACCCAAACGAGTGATGAGGTAGACCTACTAGTTAGAGAGTCTGTAGAGATATTGCACAGGTTTGATATGTATTGTTTAGATTTTTGCTTCAATATTATCTCCTAGCTGCTCTGTTGGTCTTAGATCGGTCAAAACTGCAAAATATTCCGATAGATAACTTGAAAAACACAGCTCCGGTCAATTTTGAAAAAAGGTCCCGCCACGACGCGTTTGAAAAATTTGGAAATTATTTTTTTTGATTACATTTTAGCCCAGGTGATTTGAAAGTAAGTTAAAGTTATTTATTATAATTAAGTTCGAATTAAAGAATTTGATTATAGTGGCTCCTTCTCCACGTTCTGCCCAGAAGGACATTATTCCTCATACTAAATATATTTTGGTGACGGGAGGAGTCATTAGTGGTGTTGGAAAAGGAATCATCTCTAGTAGTTTGGGAGTTTTGTTAAAGAACAATGGCTATAGAGTTTAGAATTAACCAGTTACATTTGAGTTAAATTTTTTTTAAGGTCTCTGCCATTAAAATTGACCCCTACATCAACATTGATGCTGGAACTTTCTCCCCATATGAACATGGTACGCTTGAGTTGGACGTATCTGTCCATAGCGAGATTCCGAATTTCAGGAGAAGTATTTGTATTGGATGATGGGGGAGAAGTTGACTTGGATCTTGGAAACTATGAAAGATTTTTGAATATTAGACTTAACCGCGACAATAATATCACCACAGGAAAACTATTCCAACACGTAATGCTTAGAAAAATAACATTCATACAAATTATGTGACAGGTAATTCAAAAAGAAAGAAAGGGAGATTACATGGGAAAAACTGTCCAAATGATTCCTCATATCACTGATGCTATCGTGGATTGGGTAGAACGTGTTGCTGCCATCCCTGTTGATGGTTCAAATGTCACACCTGATGTCTGCATTATCGAAGTAAGAAAAAAGTTATCAATTTAAATTTGTTTTTCTTGTCAGCTTGGCGGTACCATTGGAGATATTGAAGGTATGGCTTATCTTGCTGCATTCGAGCGCTTCCAAACCCCATCGTTACGCGTAAGTTAGGTGAAATGTTTTCATTTCTGCATGGGATGACTTTAGGACCGGTTGATGAATGTCCACGTTTCTTTGATTTTGCACCCTAATTCCACAGGAGAGCTCAAAACAAAGCCAATGCAAAACTCGGTAGTTTTCCTACTTTCTAGACAAAGCTCATTCTTCGTTTAGGTTCGTCAACTCAGAGCTGCCGGCTTAGGTCCAGATCTTCTGATTTGTCGTAGTACCAATCCTTTGGATGAGCATTTACGTGTAAAAATTGCTGACTTTGGTCTTGTCAGCATGGAGCAAGTACGTGTTCACCAGTCTGATTTACATAATGTTGGTTTTTAGGTCATTGGCGTGCATGATGTATCAAACATTTACAAAGTACCTCTTCTGCTTCAAGAACAAGGTGTTCTAGATGCCATAGTTGATCGTTTACATCTCGCACCGGTCGAGGAGAGTATAACTCGAGGTTTGAAGTTCAATATGTGCCATTGGACTCATTTGAGTGCCCTGTATGTTTATAATGATATTGAATAATATATTTTTGTTTATGTTTTTAGGGTTGATTCTTTCCAAGAGGTAGTGAACATTGCTCTTGTGGGAAAGTACACAAAGTTCGCTGATGCATACGCATCAGTAAACAAATCTCTAAGTCATGCTGCTATCCACAGTAAAAGAAAGTTGAAAATTTTGGTTTGTTATAGTTTATAATGGTTTTTCTTATAAACCAAATCCTTAGTTCGTTGATTCGGAGCAACTCGAAAACCCAAATCCAGATGCTACCGAGAAAACCAGAGAAGCCTGGAATGGCTTGAGATCTGCTCAGTATGTTTGTGTATATTAAAACATTATAAGTTTTTTTTCAGCGGAATTATTGTACCAGGAGGATTCGATAAGCGTGGTGTTGAAGGAATGATCAACTGTTGCAAATATGCACGTGAAAATAATATTCCATTCCTTGGTGTGTAAAGTGATACTTTTACCATCTTCACTGCAGTGTTCTAGGTGTTTGTCTCGGAATGCAATGTGCTGCTATTGAATACACTCGCAACGTGTTGAACGTACCGGATGCTAACTCAACTGAGTTCTGCAGTACATTGAAAGAGCACGAACAAGTACGTTGAGTGGCGATAAAGTTGTACAATAAATTCATAATAGGTCATCATCGATATGCCAGAGCATGACATCGATAGCGTTGGACTCGGTGCTACAATGAGATTGGGACGTCGTCCATCAGTTTTCATTACTCACAACAGTAAATTAAGTAGGCTCACCAAACTTGATGAATATTTGGTATTTTTGTATTATAGGAAAACTTTATGGTCAAGATATCGTTGAAGAAAGGCATAGACATCGTTATGAAGTGAACCCGAAATTAGTTCCCGACCTTTGTCAAGCTGGTTTGATGTTTGTTGGTATGTTGCATAAAAAAGGTGGAACTGTTTTTTTTTCTTTCAGCGATGGGCGCTGATAAGCCTAGTGCTGCTTTGAAATCGAACGGTAATCTCACAGCTAAATCACCTGGAATGTTTGATGATGAAGTAAGTATCGATAATAGTGTATACATACAAGCTTAATGTTATAGAATGAATTGCTTTGCAAAATTTCCGACCTGTGCAATCGTGGAGGTGATGGTGTAACTGGTCCAGCAGTTAGAATGGAAATGCTCGAATTGAAAGGTACTGTGTTCTTAAAAATTTCTTTTTTCCAACTTCATTGTTCAGATCATCCTTATTATGTCGGTGTACAATTCCATCCAGAATATTTATCTCAACCATTGATTCCTAGCCCTCCCTTCTTGGGATTATTGTTAGCCGCCACTAATCAGCTTGAGGTTTCTAAAATTAAATTAAATGCATTCTTTGATATTTTGCAGGGCTATCTGAGTGGAAGCAAAACTCCTACTCCAATGATAACTTTACATCCTCAGGAAAAATAGTGATATTTTTTATTTGCTCAATCCTTGTTGCCTCTTATTGTTACTATTGTTGTTAGCACCTGTTATTCTCACGTGAACTCGGTGACTCGTCTTAATTGATTTTATAGTTCTTGGTATGGGCCAACTGATACTTTCATAATTTTTGAATCATCTTTTATCAATATACATAATTTAGCTTAACAAGATGTCATCAGCCGCCTATCAAGTGGCTGGTCTTCTCGAGAAGATGAGTGCAACTGACAAGGTTATCTCAAACTCAAAATTAATTACTTATCATTGTATTGAAGGATTTTCGGTTCATGGCCGTTAATGACCTGATGAGACAAATCCAAGATCCAAATTTCAATATGGATGAAGATACAGAAAGAAAGGTAGTTTGTATATCATTTCTGAATTTCATTTCCACTTTAAGATTATTCGAGCTGTTTCCAGGCTTTTAGTCGACAGAAGCGGCGAAGTACAAAATTTAACTGTAAAATTTATCGGTGTCCTAATTAGCCGTGTCAAAGAGGCTCAGGTTCTCATAGTTTCGAGTTGGATTTGGAATATTTTTCTCATTGATAGGCTGATTATTTAATTGACTTGTTGTTAAGCTCTACTACACAAGGCTCAGATGATGAGAAAGATATCAGTAGTTTGGCTTTAAAAACCATAGTCACAAGTTTGGGAGTCTCGAACACAGGAACATCAATCGCTTTGATGAAAAAGCTCTTACCTAAATTATTGGTAGCCTTGAGTAAGACTACTATTGACTTCGGTTACTTCTATCTTTGAATTACAGGTGGAAGTTCCCCCAGTAGCAATATTCGCATTGAAATCTTGGATATAATATCTGATTTATTAATGCGCTTCGGGTCATCCTTGGATTCACTCCATGAACAAGTATCAATGTTGAATTGGAGACTGTAAACCTTCTCATTTTAAGACTTATCCGGTTTTATTCGACCAATTGAAATCAGAAAGGCAAGCAGTTCGTAAACGTGCTACTCTTGCCTTGAGCCATCTCACAGCTGTATCTCCTTCTTATAATAACTGTATCAAATTGCTTCTTGAAAAGTATGTTCATCAAGAAGGAACCTGTTAAGTTCATTCTCTCAGAGCTGATGAGACTTCTTCTGTAACTGCAAAGCGTACTTACGTTGTCGCTCTAACTTATGTTGCTCGTTCAAGTGGAACGAGGTTTGCACCTCATATTTCTAAGGTTAGGAATACCTAATGTTACCAAAACTGATCGTTGTTAAGGTTGTTACTCTTATGTTGAGCTTGCTCGCCAAGGAGAGCAATGACGATGACCTGAAGGAAGCAATTATGCAAGCCTTTGATGTTTTCTATCAGAGATGTCCTACAGAGACTTCTGTTTTTGAAAACGAGATCATGGAGGTCAGTATAGAAGACGATAAGCAGTTCTTATGTATTTTTTTATAGTTCCTGGTGAAAAACTTAACTTACGATCCTAACTACTGCGTTGATTATGAAGAAGATGAAGACGAATGCATGGAAGTGGAAGGTTTAATTTAAATATGAATATTGGTAATCGTTAGCCGTGTGTTCCAGATGAAGAAGATATGGTCGATGATTACTCTGACGATGACGATATGAGCTGGAAAGTCAGGCGCGCTGCCGCCAAAGGTCTAGAGTCATTGGTTCGTTACTCAAGAATCTTCGGAGTTGAAACTTAACCTATTCCATTCAGATTACTTCCCGTCGCGAACAACTACATTCATTCTTTGTCAAGCTGGCTCCTATTATCATTAGTAGAATGCGCGAAAGAGAAGAAAATGTTCGATGTGATGTTCTGTTGGCTTACGTAGCTCTCCTTAAGCAGACTTGTTTTGTAGTTCCTCACGTGTCTTCTGCTCTTTGGGTACTTTTCATATCTAGAAGTCTGTGTTAATTGTTCTGTTCAGACTGAGGAAGATGCAGAATCAGGAGCTGTGAAAGTTGGTGAGGCCCTCTTCGCCAAATCCAAATTGTCTGCCGAGCAATTGGCTGTATTGGAAGATGTACATGCTAATACTGAAAACTTGTTGAAGGTTTATTTTTAATATTTCTAACTGAAAATGAAATTGTGTTATAGACAGTCACTAAACAGATGAAGGGCAAATCACTCAAATGCCGCCAAGTGTGCTGTGAATTATTATCCCAATTAGCCAGGTATCTTACGATCGTTGGATATTCCTTACAGTTGATTAAGGGCTCTACCCAACTCCTTGTCAAGCTCGATAAAAGACCTGATGTCTGGAATTGAGGCTAATCTGTTGGATAAATCTGGAGGAGCACAAATCAAAGTTGATACTCTGAACTTGATCACCAGTCTACTGAAATCACACGATCCTGTGGTGAGACTTGTTCAACAGTTGTTAAATTAATTACTCTCCTAGGATTTCAAAGATGTTATTGAGCCTTTGAGTAAATTGGTCGCAGGTGTTATCAATGACCCTTTTTACAAAGTGTCTTCTGAGGCCTTGAATGTTTCCGGACGATTCATTCCTATCTTGAAACTGTCCGATAAGAAGCTTGTAGCTGGAATTTATGACTTCGTCTATCAGAAGTTGAAAGTCAATGATATTGATCAAGTGAGTTAAATTTGAAATGATGTTTCATGAATCTTTTAGGATGTCAAAGAGAGCGCTATTGCTACTACGGCCACCTTCATCTCTGCTTTCGGGCCTGATATTGAACACGTATAACAAATTTTCTGGTCCGAGTTCCATTTTTTTTTCAGACTACTGAATCGTTGAAACTTCTCGTGGAACGCTTAAAGATGGAGATGACCCGCTTAGCTGCAGTTCGGGCTTTAATGGAAATTGCTGCTTCTCCTTATTCGTACTTCTTGGAGCAAGTAGCTTCTGATATTCCAGCCATATTGGCTGACTTTTTGAAGAAAAATCATCGTGCTCTTAAGGTATTCATCAGTTTCAGTTCGTTATAATTTGTTTTTTTTCAGCTGTCAACTCTGAATCTCATAAGACATTTGTTTGGATTACATGAAAAGTTCCGCCTTGAGCCTGTGGGAGTTTCAGCTGTGAGTATATTTATAGCCGAAAGTGAAAGATGTTTCGTTTAGATTCTCTCTGAAATTTCTTCACTTTTCAAGGATACCGACTTACAAGTTACACAACTGGCTCTCAAGTGCCTCACACGTAATAATGAAAAAGAAATTGAACCCTACTTTTTTTTTCAGTTGCTATTGAGTTTTACCCTCAATTGGTTGCACAGTTCCTGCCCGAAATCATGAGCTCCCTTATTTTCCTGATTCAATCTGCTCTTTTACAAGGAGCTACTCTGCAAGCTACTTTTGGAGTTGTTCGTAGCCTGGTTCGCTCAGAAGTTCAGGGCAAGCCTGACTTCAAGGTAACTCGTTTGTGTTATATATATCTAATCTGCTTTCAGAACATGTTGGATGCTATTACTTTCCCAATTTATGAAACAAACAACCTGCCCAAACAAGCTTTTATATCTATTTCCGCTGTCGTTGCCGTTATTACCACAGCTACTAATGATATAGGACAGGTGCAGAAATTCATAATAATTGTATAAGGTGTTCAGTTCAGGCGAAGAGCTTAGTCGTTAAGTTGGCTGAGCAATTACAGAATCCGGGATCTACTGACCAAATTCGTTTATTCTGTATTCACGCGATTGGTGAACTCGGAAGACGTTGTCCATCTGCTTTCGATGAATCAAATGTCAAGTATGATTATTTTGATTCGAAAAATATTGAATACATTGTTTCCAGCCCTGGAGAGCTCATGATTTCTGCATTCAATTCCCCCCAGGAAGATTTAAAGGCAGCTGCTGCTCATGCCATTGGAGCACTCGCTGTTGGAAATTTGAACAAATACTTACCTTTCATTCTTAACCAAATTCAAACTGAGCCTAAACGACAATATCTCCTGCTGCACTCTTTGAAAGAGGTTCGAGTTTTCTGTCTTCTATAAATATCGCTTCCTAAGGTTATCGCCTACGATTCTGATGATCTGTCTGCAATAGAGTTATTAAAGAACAGAATTGATGAGGTGTGGAAGGTCTTGATCAATCATGCTCATTGCGCAGAAGAGGGAACCAGGTATTATTACTGTGAATAATCTTACACATTTCTTATCTGCAGAAATGTGGTCTCAGAATGCATGGGCAAGTTGTGTGTTGTTGCTCCTGGTGTCATTCTTCCTAAATTAAAAGCTGAGATCACTTCAACCGATGCATCGATTCGTGCCTGTGTTGTCACTTCGGTGAAGTTCATGATTTCTGCAGAGAAGCGTCCTATAGATTCTTATCTTCAGGAGTATATCGGTAAGAGATAATTAATGATTAGTGATTCGACATTTTTCAGGTACGTTCCTTAACGCCATAATGGATGAAGAATTAGGAGTTCGTAGAGTGGCATTAGTTGTGTTGAACTCGGCTGCTCATAATAAACCAAGCTTGGTATTTGTAGTCATCAGTACTTTATATTGTTTTAATTGATAGATCAATGACTTACTCCCACGCTTCTTACCCCATGTGTACAAAGAGACTGAAACAAGGAAGAATCTCATTAGAGAAGTTGAGATGGGTCCTTTCAAACATCAAGTTGACGACGGTCTTGATCTCCGTAAAGCCGCATTCGAATGGTTGCGTTCCGTTGTGCTTCTAAATTACAGTGTAAATTCAGTATGTATACGCTTCTGGAAAGCTGTTTAGATCGTTTGGACATCAAAGAGTTCCTTACTCACGTTGAAACTGGGCTCAAGGTTGCAAATTTCTCTTCGAATCAAATATCAATTTCCATGTTTTTAAGGATCAGCAACAAGACATTAAGCTTCTCACTTTCTTGACAATCATTCGTTTGGCGAACTACAGTCCATCTCAGATGAGATCATCGCTTGATCCTATTTGCGAAAAGATTAAGGTGTTTTTTTCATGAATTCGATTTCTTTAAGCGAATATTTTGAAGGAGATTCTCAACCAGCGTAATAAGAGCAACGCGGTTAAGCAGGAGGTTGAAAAGTTGGAGGAATTGAAGAGAGCTGCTATTCGTGCCTTGTACACGCTTCAGGTATCTAGTGACAAAGCCCGCCATCTCAAAGAATTTTTAATAGAACATCCCCGAAGCTGAACATCTTCCACAAATCTACGATTTGTTGAATTTGGTGAAAAATGTACCAGAACTCCGTCACGTAGCCGAACAGGTAGACACGAACGAGCACAATTGCTTCAATGCTTATTTCAGTTGTCAAATGATTCTTTGAGAACATTTGTTGGAGACGTGCCAATGGAGCCAGCTTAACTGCGTTAACCCTTTGAACCTATATTTATGTGTGAATAGGCCGATAATCTTCTATTATCGATTTTCTTTTAATATATTTATTCAAAACTGGTTTTTTTAATGACGGTGCATAACTTTTGTAAAAAAAAATTGTGTTTATGTGCATATTTTTATTGTTTTAGTAAATATTTCATAAAGAACTTGTTTACGTTCAAGTCAGATAGGTTGACCCTATCATTATCTCTGCATAGTTATATAAGTATTCAATGTTATATATTACCCTCTAAATTATAATCTATAGGATTTTGCTCATGAAGCAACGTAATCATCTTAGCCGGTCGCCAAGGTTCGTTTAGCAAACCTGTAATTTTTAATGATTGCTCTGATGTTGAGCTCGTTTGTTAATTATTTTGTTTCACCATCTTTCTGTATTTAACTGCCGTGAGAAAGTGAAGTTCTGATTTTGAAAGTGCGATAAGTCCCAGTAGCATAGCTTTGATTCGACCGCCCCAATAACTGATTATCATTGAGATGTGTTGAAGATGTGTCGTGTCGCTGTTGCCATATTTGTCTTTTGATACCTTCTGTTTCCCCATATCATAAATATTTTCATAGTCATCGTTATGAATGATCCAGAAGAAAAAAGATCAGCCTTAGTGGACTTATCAGGCGACGATAGGCCCGTAAACCCTTCCATTAAACCATTGCGGAAAGGTCAAAAGGTACTGGGCTGTGGATCGAAGAAATGTGTGAAAAGGTTCGATATTTGATAAGTTTTGTAATTTGAAAAAGAATGTTCCGAATGATTGTGTTAAGCATATATGTTGTCTTTTTGTTTATATTTCGCCTTGTCGTTCATGCTGTTTTCCTAATCTGGACTTCATAAATCCTGTTTTGCACTGGTTAGATGTCTAATATAGATATTCTTATCTTCTATTAATGGTTTTGTTCCTACATTTAATTCTTTTCCTATGTCTTTGTTGAACAATTCACACACCGTACATCAAATTTTGTCTTAGGTTCTAGTTATTGTGTCACATCTGTTAGGTTCGTCTATTGTCACACCAAACCCAACTTCTCATATTGAAGCACAATGGTTCTAGGACTTGGGTAAGTTACTTTCTTTCGCAAATTTTCCCCACTTGCAATCTTCACTTTTTGAACTTGTTGTGCTGTGTGCTCACTTCACCAATTCTCCTCTCACCCTGGCTCTCTATCTTTTCCTGTCTTCCTATTCGATTATGATTAATCAGATTCCTAGGGCTTTCTCTCTTGCTACTTTGTGTTCTTTATGATAATCTTGTTATGAATGCCACTAACACCATGTAACATAATATTGAGCTTTGCATTCAAGCATCTCCGTTTACTACGAGAAGTCTTATACTACGATGATTTTAGTTGTTTTTTTCCTTGTTTTTTAACTTCCACTCACCCTCATTAAAAGCTTACGCTAGCACTAGCTATATGCTCGCTGTCATTTCTTCCCGAGAGAAGCATGGCTTTGTTAAAAAGGCTTTGTTGTTCCTTCCCCACATTGGATTTGGTAATTTTCCAAGTCAGCTGCAAACTTTAATCTTTCATTTATTCTTGAAAGGGTTATTAAACCTTCAGATATTCCCATTCACATACTCTCATTTCATTGACAACTCCTAATTTAGTGTTCACTCAGCCAGCATGCTTTTTTCTGTTCTCTAGCACACTTCGTTCTGATTCAAAGTCTGCTAAATATTATGAAGCAAAAAGCTGTCGCTCTGTTTTTGAGAAGAACACTGCACAATCCCACCAATTTCGTTTTTCGGCTTTTGTTTTCATTTTCTATTTTCAGATTGGTACAGGTCTCACTCTGCGTGGCAGGTGTGCCCCTGGTTTTACTTTTAGTGGTTGTTCCACTCCTGATCTACTTCTTCCCTCATCTCATGCAGCATTTGTTCTTCTTGAACTTCCGTAAGTCTTACTTTCAATCTTATTTTCGTTGAAAGGTTGTTTCCAGGGCGTATGCCGATGACTGACTATGAAAACGTTACTGCAAATAGTGTAAAGTCAATCGGAAGAAGTTTTTACTTAGATGGAGAGCAGGGAAAAATAGGAACCTGGTAATCTATCCGTGTTTGTATAGCATCATCATTTTCATTCTTACAGGCATGTATTGCCAGCATCAATATCTAATAAATTCAAAGAAAGTGGTATTCAACCCTCTGATCAGGAAATAGAAGACTTAATCAAAAAGGAAAGGTTTCCGGTTTTTCTCTATGCACACGGAAATTCTTTTGACAGGTTTTGCTTCTATAATATATCATTCATATCCATTTTAAGGACAATAAGCCATCGATGCGAGCTTTACAATGTCCTCAGTGACCAAGATTACCATGTTATTGCATTCGATTATAGAGGCATGTTTACTTATAGTATAATTTTACAGGGTTTTTAAAGGTTATGGCGATTCTGAAGGCAGTCCTACTGAAGATGGAATCGTAGCTGACACTCGTACTGTGTATGAATATGCACTCAAGCATATCGGGAGTAATACATTAATTATTTGGGGACATTCCATGGGGACGGGGTAGTAGAAAAACGCGTCTTGACTTGAAAAATTATTTTTTGGTTTAGAGTCAGTACTAGACTTGTTCAACAACTATCGAATGAAGGAAAAGCTCCTGACGGCTTGGTCTTAGAGGCCGCTTTCAATAACCTACACGATGTAGTGGTAAATCATCCATTCAGTATTGTACGAGGCTCTTCTCAAATTTGGGTAATAATTTGGCTATTTCAGCCGCTCAGATGGATGTCAAGCAAAATGTTCGATTCATTAATAGTCAACCCTTTACGAAGTGCTGGATTAATTATGGAAAGTGACAAACGTATAACGGAGTTAGTTGAAACTCTGACAACAGAAGTTAATTATACTTTTTTCCAGAATCACCTGTCCTATACTCATCATGCATGCTGATGACGATCATGTTATACCTGCTCGACTAGGCAGGCTACTCGCGGTAATCAATTGTTGCTTACTTATGATTGATTATGCATTTCAGGAATCTGCCGAGCGAGCTGGAAGAGATGTAGAATATGTCGAGTTTGATGCAAAAAGAGAATTCAAACATAAATTTATTTATTTAGCTCCAGAGCTTCCCCAAATAGTCAGGTACGATAAACATTTCACTTGCAGAGTAAAAAAAAATGAAATTTTAGAGACTTCGTCCGTAAATGCGAACGTGTCAAACATTCTATGTGATACTGAGCTATTTCAAGCTCACCTTCAGGGTTGTTTTATATTATGAGTACATAGTCCCAATTAACTAACTCCATGTGGAATTGTGATGGCCTCTTCATATTTATCTGGTCCATTATCGCTTTAGCATGACTTTCCTATCTCATACGTTCTGAGGCAAGTGAAATGATTCATACGGGCATTTTTTACATCTTAATCCCATTGTATTTATTGCTATTGCATTTGTAAAGATTGTCTTAGACGATTCACGACCTTAATTATTTGACTGGAAAAGATAAAATTCTTGTATGTCTTTTAGTATTTTCTGTGATACAAAGGTTGCTGTTGCTAGAGAGATTAAGAACGCAACCGATTTGCCTGCCTCGAGGGATTGAAAGTAGCGAATCCACTTATCACGTGGCATATGTGGATAATTAGCATACGTTTATTCACTTAAGCAAGAAGATTACTAGTTTCGGTCGGAGACACATGTCCATTAGGTTGAAACGCTTGTTTCCCATTTAAGCGAGTGTAAAAAAAAATTAAAATCTGGTAGAGCACAAATTAAAAAAGGAAATGATACGGAAAGGAACGCGAAAATAAGGTTGGGAAAGGATTATTTTTAAAACTGTTTGATATTAAAGATTAATTGGTTGGGCTACAAACTTTGGTTTTAGGCGATTTCGATTTGTACACTTTCGTCGTTCTCATCATTTTTAACCGTTAAAACGATAATAGGAGGGGGCGCATAACCATGGCGTTGCTCATATTCCTTCATTCGCTTAGTCGACCGTACAATGAGAATTGAAAGAAGAGACCAAATGAAGGGCAGCACAAATTCACAAACGACGAAAACCTAAATGAAGAATACAATGTTTGCTTTAAGTACAGTTTCAGTTTAGATTTACTTTGTCTTCATTAGAGGCCTGTATTTTAACGAAATCTTTGTTGTAGCTTCTTGCTCCCCACACGATTGCTCTGCAAAAGGTCGGAATTAAGCTTAAGCTTGATTATTGGATTGTTTGAAAGAGCACATCTATGAAGTCATTTTCGTAGCTGAAATATTCGCTCACCTGATGAACAAAAAAAGTAGTTGGATTGTGGTGCAAGGCAAAGTGAGCAATGGTTTCCTGGTCCACATTGCGGCCCCCAAACCGAGAACACATGTGAAAATATCTGCAAACATTCGTGCAACCTTAAGGGCTTCACTATAAGCATTGGTCTGTTTGTCTGTTTTACCAAGTAATAGAGATCGAATGATTGAAACTTCTTATAAAACCTCCATGAATTAGGATTGTTCTGGCTGTCATCTCTTAAATAGTCAAAGATTACTTAATTTACTTGCAAGTTTTTCTTTCTCCTCTCAGAAAACATTTTTTCCCACCTCAGTAAATAAGCCCAATGAATGATGTCGAATAGGCAGAGCATCACAAATATAACTTTGAGGGAGAAGAATTGGCGTACAGGAGTACAACAAGCACAAAGACAACTATGAGATTGATCATTTCTAGCTCTAATGTGAGTGAGAGGAGTTCGTTTCTGAAATCAGATGAAGATATCATCTTTAAAGAGGTCAAAAAGTTAAAATTACCTTAGAGTCACTCGCTATGGAAGAGCTTTCATTGTTCATCTTTACAACTGAGAAGGTGCGTGGTTGTCTAGGTGTTCCTGGCATACTGCTTTCTGCTGAGGCCTAATGATATTAAATATTGAATGAACATTAATTATCAAACTATGCATAAGTGATAGATTGAAAATTGATATTTCACTGTGCATAACTAACGCACCTGACTATTGTCTGAGCAAGTTTGGACAACTTCCCCGTTTACTTTAAGTTCCAAAGTGTTTTTACGTGATCGTCCTTCCTTATATTGCAAATCAATTGTATTTCTTCTCACATCACTTTCCGCTTCTTTTACCTGTAAGGGAGTGAGTACCTTATCAAGAAGCAGAATCTCGATGTTGAAAAGTTTATTTTCTCACTTGAACATCGACTGTGTTCCGTCGAGGGGAAGTTGAGTCGCCACCTTGCTGGGTTAATACTACTCTTCTAGGTTTAGTGATATCGAACGGCTAAAGATCTGCTGTAGTTGGTTTAGAAGAGAAATGAGAAGAAAACGATCAAAGTGCACGAAAGTTATGGATTTAAGTGAGTGGAATGTAAGACACAACACTAAACTTACCATAAATGTGTGAAGAAGGTTCTATAAAAAACAAAAAAACAACGAATGTGTCATGATAGATGTCAATGTATTGTCTCATGAGGAGCTAGGATAAGGATATGAAACGTTTCCCATTGAAACATTAAAAATTAACGAAAAGTGAGTATTCTCAATGGGAATGTGGATGCAAGATTAAGTAGAAAAGTATAATTTAGGATGTGAGATGCATGGGAATATATGCTAAAATTCTAACAAGGAAAATGAAGAAACAAAAGACAAAATAAAAATTGATTCAACTTTTTTGTTGAACAGAAAGCGAACTGAAGAGCATATAGGAAGGCGAGTAGACTGATAGACGGAAGAAGAAAAATGAGAAAATCAATTGAAGGAGTTCTCATATCTAAACAGATGAGCTCGTCTTAATCTAGTGATAAGCTTATTTACGATGAGAAGGATGGAAATGCTGGAAAAGGATGCAGAAGAAATTGGCGAAATATTAGAGAAATTCTAGAAGGGATGCAGACTTCACCGCTCATGATGGTGGATTATTGCTTGACAACTACAGCTATCGTTGCCAGGCAAGACCTCATCTAATCTCTCATCTGATTATCATTTTGTGTGCACCAAAAAATGGATAAAAAAAAAAAAAAAAGAAAAATTTTTATTTTTTTTTCAGCAAGTTCCCACCATGGAAACATTACATCCAATTGAATTCACACTCATATGACGAACTTCTAAGATACTTGCATATCCTTTGTTACTCAAGTATTTCCTTTCTTCAACTTACGCAGCCGTCTTTTAATATCTCAAACTGCAATCAGAACAGCTTGATGAATCCGGAAGTGGACGGTAATGGCCCCCATATAAACCAAAATTGAGTTTTCTTATGCTCAAGTGTAAATTCAGGATAATTATACAAGTTGTTGTGTTGCTTTGATAGAGAGGAAAAAAAATTTATTCATCTTTTCGGATTTAAAATCAGCTTCTTTGCGAATTATGTGAAGACGATGTAAAATTGAACAAAGATTAATCGAATTCTCATTAGTTCACGAAATATGTTGATGCTTCCAACCGTTTTTAATAAATATTTTAACGACTTCAGATGTAAACGACGCAATGATTTTTCTGCGTAAAATAAATAAAGAATCCGCACCCGGATGACGTCAGAAATTTATGAACATTCTATGAAAATCAGAAAGGATTGAAAGTGAGTAATAGAAGTACAGAGAGAGAGATAGAGAGAGAAAGAGACAATAGATAGGCAGAGACAGAAAGAGTAGGAGATGTGAAAGGAAATGAAAACGAAAGATTGTGAACGAAAAGATTTTCCAGTAAAGGTTGATATTGCGCTGACACATGAAGCAGGAGCAGCAGCAAAGTACAAAGTTCAAGAAAACGGAAAACAAAAACAGTCATTGCTGTTATTGATGAAATTAAGCACAATAGAGCGATGAGCATCTGATTCAGCGGTAGCGACGGCAAGGATTTTTCTCTTCTTGTCTAACGGTGTTGTAAGGCGGCTAGGCAGCATGATGAGTTCAGATTTCGAATTTCATATTGACGATAGAGATAATGATGAAAATGACGCTGATGACTTATCCATATTCATGACTGACTTATCTGGAATTATGTTGACTCTCTCCTGAATTTGGTGCACTTTGTTCAAATAGCTTAAATTACTTCCGAAAATGATGATGACGCATGCTGCCATTGGATTTTGTCTTAAATTTCCTGAAGATTGCGTTGAAGATTCGATGATGATGAAGCAACTAATATTCGGTTTTTGTCTATTTATTTTGTGTATTTTACTATTCCAAACCTGATTCTCATTTGTGGACAAACTTTGAACTCACAGACTTTTTAGCATTTTTTTCCTCTTCTCAAATTCTATTTGCGGACATAGATTTTCAACTTAGTGCCCTGTTTCACTTTTATCTTTGGAAATTGGAGGAAATACGCTTTTAGTTCTTTCTTTCTATTTTTTTTGTTGTTGGAAAAATTGAGTTTTTAATGATTTGAAATACCCCCCCCCCACTCTCTTTCCCTCTGTTCCATCCTCACCCTGTCCATCCTGTGAATTGAAACTTCAAATTTGAAAATTAAATCTTGAAAGACAATGGGATGGTGAGTGAAAGGCCATAAATCGCTTCATATGATGAAGCTTATGCCTTAAATCATTCTCTCATCTTCATACTCTCTTTCATTTCAATCACATCATTTTTCTTAAAGACTCATTCTTTTATTTGAATTCATCATCGACACACTCGCTGTGACGCAAAATTAGAATTACGTGAAACTCACGTGAGTCATATTGCATTTTTCAGTCGTGTTGAACGGTTGTGTTTCTTTTCTCTCTCTATCACTCTCTTTCTCTCTCTCTCTCTCTCTCTATCTTATACATCTCTTTTCAATTCTTTTCGTGTCCATTCTTTCTCTCTCTTTACTTCTCTCTCTCTCTCTTTGATGGTTTATTTTTTCCTGCTTTTTATTCTCCTTCATTTTTCTTATATCTAAACCCTTTCTATCCTCTAAAAAATTTTTTTTCCTGCTCATCATTCACATTTAAAACTTTGTGTTGGAATTTCTTTTTTTTTCTTTTTATTAAAAAAAAAATATTTTATAAACCACTAGAGTTTGGATGACAAACTATGTGCCTTGAATGCTTTTAACGTTGTATACATATAATTAAAAAATATATTTATATAAATAACAATGTAGTTTTTGATGACGATTGTATATAGTTAATAGAATGATTTGTTGAATTTAAATTTTATGTACTTAAAAGGGAATGAAAATTGCGCATGCCTTCAGGCTATGACGAAGTAGCATGGATAAGCTAATAGAGGTGTTTGAATAAGGTTAAATCAATTCATTCAATGTCCATTTCTTATAGAATATAATTTATCTTTGAATGAGAGGTTCTGAGAAAATGACTCGCCTGAATATCTTATCATCAGCATACCTTTCACGTTCTGTTCTCTCTTACCTTCCATCATTCATCCACATCATCACTATCTCTTCTACCCATACACACATTTTTTTTTTGATTTTTTTTCTTCAATGTTTGATTCATTATTTAGAGTAAGTATGGTTGAAAGATAATATTTAAAGCCATTTCGTGTCATATTTAGTTATGTCGTGAGATTTTTGATGAAAATGAGACAAAAAAATTTCGTGAATGAATACATTCATTTCATATTGTTTTCAGTCCTACGCACAATGACTATTTTTAATTTTTTTCTTTTCGCTTCTTTTTGAACCTTCTAGATTTCTTTCTTTTCACTTTTTGCTCCAGAATGGCCTCATACAACCCGCAGAAGAGCTCTTCATCGTGTGCTAGCCATGCCCAAGCCCAAATATCAGATGAGAATTGCCGCCGCAGGCTTTTACACGATTTCAAAATCATTTGCCCCTCCCGACTCTCTTGACCAGCAATAACTATGATGAGCTGATCTCTCTCACACTTCCAAAAATGTAATTTCTAACTAGAAATGCAGCTTGCAATCCTGATTACGTCATGATGCATTCACGTGAGACGTGAAATAGCCATGAAGAGTTCACTCTCTAAGCGCGAAAAAAGAATTGAAAAAGATTTTAGTTTTGATCTTTCGCCTTGTTAAGAACGGTTGATGTCAGTAAAGAAAGAAGAAAACGTTTTCCTTACTCAAATGTAAACAAGATCAAGCATATGAAATGTGATTGTATTTCTTTGAAAATCAATGTTTAGCACGTTGTAGCTACGTGTGTGTGTGAGTACGTGCGTGATGATTGAAATATATTTCGTTGATATGATCTATTTGTACTTGGAATTTAGGAAAAAAAAAAGAAAAAGTTTTTGTGCTCATTGTTTGACCATCGTCTCATCTGAGCAATAAAGAAAGTCGTTTGAATTTCAATATAATTTTTCTTTACTTTTCTTTGATGGAACATTAAATGTTGTTAGGATAGAAAGTGTTATGTTGTGATCTGTTCCGTCTGTCCTTGTTTTCATTAGCCCTTCCAACTTTCAGGAAATACCAAAATGGCCCTTACGAATATGCTCTGAAGACAGATTAAGAGAGATAGAGAGAGGGACGAACGGAGGGAGAGAGAGAGAGAGAGATAGAGACAAACGGAGGGAATGAAGATGAGGAAAAGAATGTGAAATGGAGAGAGAGAGAAGTTTCCCCCTCTCCTTTTTTTTCTGTTTCTTACTGTGTGAAGGTTTCGCATTTCATGTAAGGTGGATAATACATGTAGGCGGAACGATGTCTTCTATCCTTTATCCCTTCGATTTCACCAATTGAATTGATCATTTCTGCTTTTGTCTGCCTTTTTGTTAAGATGTATTTGAACTATCGGAGTTGGTAAAGTATAACAGAAAAGATGGTTCTTAGGAGATATGAGCTTGTCTTTCATGGCTTTCAGTCAACAAAAATACACATGAATCATGTTTTTATTGAGCAAAAAAGCAAAAGATATATTGTGATCAGTCTGTGAAGGGGTTAAAGGAGAATAGACGGGACAAGACAAGTTGCAGCATTAAGCTGCTCCTTGAGATTGATCTTACAACTTCACATAAGATATGGGAATTTCAAATTATATAATCAATTGTGAACGCTTTTTCTGTTTCAAAATTGAATTGAGCTTACGAAGGTTGTGCTCGTCTCGTTTCTCCAATCCTCTCATAAATTTACTATTGAGCTTTTGCTTTTAAGTTTTGGACTCTCTGCTCTTTTCCTTCATGCTATTACTTTCTTTCCCTGCCATCATTGATGTTTTTTTTTGGAAGCGCGGCGAGAATATGTTTAAGCGGATGATAATATTGCTCAAGCATGCATTTAATTTTTTAAATTTTCATTGAAATATATCTTGACTTGTTTTATTTCGATAAGTTCTTTGTCTATGTCCAAGAAGCAGGAAGTAAGAGAGATTGAAGTAAAACTTTGAAACCTAATTGTTGCTCCTCTTTGTGCCACTTTGTCTTGCAAAATCTGGCCAGCTTTTCGTCGGAGGTTATCTATGAGAGTTTTGAAATTCTAAACTTGCCATATTGGGTCGTTCATGCCCTAAGGGGTCACATCAGACCGCCGCTCATTTTCATTTTGTATAAGCTTAGCAATCTATCTTTGTGCCCAGTAACAATCATGTGCAGTAGAAGTTTTATTTAAACAAATTATTTTTTTCATTGGCAATCTGTCTTGAGCGTCCTTTTTATATGAGCAATTTACATGTGGAAATTTTTCATTTTGAATCATGACTATGCCATATAAGGATTTGTCTTTAAGATTCTCGTTTCATATCAACGAAGATTCGCTTTTCAGTTTCACTTTTTTTTTAATATTCTTCTCATTCTTTCTGTTTAACAGGCTCATTTGAGCAGGCGGAAAAGTGATTTTCAAAATAATCATTTTTTCCTCATGCGGACAACGCCCACAGTTCACTTCTCACTTATTCGTGATTGCTCAAATGTCTCAGAAGCTTGCTCGATCCCGCTGTTGACAGTTTTCAAGTATTTGAACAAATCATTTCATTGTTGACTACATATCTTTCATTAATACATTGCAACATATTTAATATATCGGCCTCATGTTCATAATTCATCTCTTCTTACGATCTTTATCGGTGAGCTTTTCAGCATGAGCCCGTCTGATGCAGCTGCTGGGTTTTTTCTTCTATTTTTTGGAATTGCTGGTACGTGTTCATCAGTTCACATCACTCATATCTTGATCCAAATTATAGGAATAGCATTATATTTTTTAATAACCACGTCAATGATTCGAATGGCCAGTGAAATTGTTGGTTTTCGTTTCCTCATTAGTCAAGCTCTCACAGATATTCTACTAATGATTCAGGTAATTACAATTGACTTCTATCTATATGTAAGCGAGAGGCGATTGCGTCTTTTGCTTCTTAAAGCCGTTAGCTTTTGATGAAAATTGCGAAAATGGTAACCAAAATTGTTTTTTTTTTCAATTTCAAGCAAGCTGTTCTTTAATCAACCGAAAACGACTTAAAGGGTGAATTTTTAATTTCATTCTTCTGCTTCTCATTATTTGATAGTTAACCTGTCGGGAAATGAAACAAATTCAGAAAAAAAGCTCTTGAAAGTCCACAAGGGGTAGGGTCCTCCAACAAAACTATTTGCTCACGTGATCTGGCTGATCGCCTGGAGGCATCTGTTTCCTTTCTTGTCACAGGGTTTCGAATTTTGGGCGCAAGCCTCATTGAAAGAAATTCGAAACGCACATGTACGGCTACGGAGGGCAGCCTAGAGTCCGAGGGATAGTATTAGTTCATTAAGAACGATATTTTGAAGATATTATACATATTGTTTCGTATTGAAGTCATGCGGTGACGTGATGTAACAACAGCTCTGAAAGAACAAGAGTGAGAGTGACATGTAATAAAAGCAAATAATTAAAATCTCCAATTACGGTGATATTATTTTGTAAAAATTTCAAAGCCATCCTCATTGAGACTATATTTAATTTCAAAATAACCAACAAACATCCCATGTTCATGGACAAGAAGTTTGATTGAAAAGCTAACAAGTTTTTTCTGCAGTTGCTATTTACATGATATATAAGCTCAGAAGAGGAACAGCCATTCTAAAATAAGAAAAAAGATTTTTTTTCAGTTTTTGTTCTTCGTGTTGTAATTCTAAAAAAGGAAGTATTTTCAGTTTGCTCTCTGGCCGGGAATAGTCATTCTGACACAGGATGAGCTTTTACCGATATCAGTTCGATGGCATGCTCATATCTACTTAGATTTTACTTGGTAAACTCAATTTTGACAATCGCATTGTATTTTGATTACGAAAATGTTTCAATTAACATAAAATTTCATTGAGTGACGTCACATGGAAAATGGCGTTGCTCCTTGATTCTATTGAATTTCACGTGAATCCACGTGATTCATATCATTTTAACAAAGATTAACACATAAAGCGGTTGCATCCTTAAATTATATTTGATTGATTTGAACCTCTCATATCTCATGTTAATTAATTAAGGTGGGCAATGGTATACCATTATACGATAATAGCATGGTCAAGACTAGCTGCTGTTCAATGGCCAAATTGGTTTAGGTATATCATTTACTATATGATTATTATAATGATAATGTGTTTGAAGAACTTTACCCTATGGAACATGTGTCCTCATATGCATTCTACCATGGTTTATAGGATTGATACAATCATTGGTTGAGCATCAGGTATCCTATTAATCATATATAAAATGATTCTCGATCTATCCCATCTTGTAGTTTGTCTGGTTTGAACCATTGTGGTTTAGCCCTCAAAACTACGGAATGGAAGCAAATTGGTATGAATATGAGACAAGAGGAACAAGCACATATTACATGTCTTTCAATGTTGTCTTGATGATATTACCTTTTCCATTTTATGTAGCTGCATTGATAATGTTATTTAAACGACAGAGACAACGAACATTAGGTCCACATGGCTCATTCATATCATTTATCTAATTATTCTATTTTCAGAATTGCGCTCAAGATATTCTCGTGCGTCAATGTCTTCCTCACTTTTTGCTGCTCAACGTCAAATGAGCATAGAAACAAGGCTTCTAGTACCATGTATTATAAACACAATTTTATTTGTTGTTGGACAGGTATGAGTCATTACCTAACTATATTATCTAATTTATAAATTGTTAGATTTTCATTACTCAATTAGCTAAGCAAGGCAAATGGTGGAATTGGGCAGTTATGGTTGTATTTGCAACCAACTCTTTCGTCAATCCGCTTCTGTACTTATTCTTCAGGTAAGGATTATATGACTCATCATAAACTATATTATATAAATGATAATATTTTTTTTCAGCAGTGTCATACGGAAAGGTGTAATGACAGATCTACGAAAACGTTTCTCATTCTCAGCAGTGTATGATTATGAATTACGTTCAAGTAGTCAAGAACAGAAAAGTTCTCTTGTTCGGTTGAACAAAGATACAACTATATCATCAAATCTAAATCGAATGATCTGAATTGTTGTAAATCAAAGCAACAAAGCTTTAAGAAAAGATTTTTAATTCTATTATTATATAATAGAAAATGAGATATAGAGAGAGAAGAGGAGAGAGAGAGAGAGAGAGATAGAGAGAAAGAGAGAAAAAAAAAACAATAAGAGTACATATATTTATCTCTCAATCTCTCTCTCTCTCTCTCTCTCTCCTTGTGTCTCTCTCTCTCTTAATTGCAAATATGTAAATAGCTAATAATGCGGGCATTATTTTGATGAATAATGTGATCTCTCTTAACACATCATCTTACTTTTTTTTCCTTTTTTTTTATATATACTTGAAGCAATAAATAAATAATATATTGATTAATGTGTATGACTCAATCGTCTCAGTTGTCTCAAAATGGAACTTCCTGTACGTTGGGCAAATTGATAAAATGAAAATACAATTGATACAGCAGAGATTTAAAAGAAAACTTGAAAAGTGTATGAAAAGCCATTAAAGGCAATAATCAAGTGTCTCCTTCACCTTTAACTTCATAAAACAATACGTTGTAACAGGTCAATCAATTCAGAATCATTTCTCTTGTAACCATATATGGTCTAGCAGTTACGGCTCTTTTCCATTAGTTTAGCTTTATCTAAAGCTTATATTCTTGAAAGTGAACCTGTTTTTCATTGTCTTCCTAAATCAACACCTAACATAATCACATTTCCTGTTTAGGTATCAATGAGATTATACACTCTATTCCTATTTTTGCTACTTATTGCTGTTACTCATGCTGGCTTCTTTGATTTCATCAGTCGCATCGCCAACAATGATGGCTCATCGAAGAAGGCGAAATCTAAAATGAAGCCTGTCACTGATGATAAAGCTAAAGTTAGTTCTATACATCATATAATGATCTTTCATCTATCAGCTATCAAACATCACGTACTGTTATGCTGTTTCAGAAATATTTACAAGATTTTGGATACATCGGTCCAAGTAACAGTCTCGGCTCATCTCCTAATGGCATGAATGCTGATTTTGGTTCATCTTCTAGCTGGTTAAAGAGAGCTATCACGTACTATAACTTTTCTCTTTTGTTCTCACTCTGTTTTAAAGTAAATTTCAAGAGTTCGCCGGGCTTCAAAAAACAGGAGAACTAGATGATGAAACAAAGACAAAAATGGCAGAACCACGTTGTGGTGTCATTGATGTGGCAGCAGTCACGAGTGGAGGTTTCCATCTTTACATTTTGTAATCTTGACAGACAAACTTTGTGATAGGAGCTGCTTTCAAATGGCGTAAAACACAATTAACATACTCTATTGAAAACTTCTCACCTGATCTACCAAGGGAAGATGTTAGGTTACTCGTTCATGCTCACTATCTACTTTAAACTTTAAAATGTGTAGACGAGCTGTTCGTGAAGCATATAGTCTTTGGTCTGATGTGACTCCATTGGAGTTTTCTGAAGTTTCTTCAGGTGGAGACATCAAAATTCGTTTCGGAACGAATAATCACAATGATCCCTGGCCTTTTGATGGAAAAGGTTTTCATTTCCTTACATAGCTTCTTTCAATTAAAAAAACATGTGCTAGGAGGAGTATTGGCTCACGCCACTATGCCTGAGAACGGTGCTTTGCATTTCGATGACGATGAAAACTGGGCTTTTGAAGATGCACAGAAAATAGGAAGGTTTCTATTCTCGGTTAAGAAAATGCTAACTTGCTGAATTCAGTGATCAAGCTACAGATTTTCTAGCTGTAGCCATTCACGAAGGAGGACATACGTTGGGATTGGATCACTCTAGAATCGACAGTGCAATAATGGCTCCTTTTTATTCGAAAACTGTGGATTCTAATGGGAGATACAACCGACCAAAGTTACACTCTGATGACATTCGAAGCATTCAAGACATCTATGGTAAGTTACAAAGACGCTTTTCAGATCAAAATATGTATTCTAGGACCCAGAACTACTCCTCGCACATCTGGAGGATCAAGCAGTGGTAGAACAACCAATAATAACTTGACTTTTGACCTCAAATATGTCTTTTTTAGGTTCAGGAAGCTCGTTCACAACTCAGAGACCAGGAACAACAACAACAAAATCTAGTTGGTTAGACAGATTTTTCGGAAGTGGAAAAGGTTAAACTTAAAAATCCTACAAGTTTGGAGAGATGAGCTTCAGATACAACGACACGAGCACCCTACACAACAACAAGATCTACTTTCACAACACGCAGAACCGATTTTGGAGGATCCGGCGGATCAGGATTTTCATCAGCCGGTTGTCCAAGGAGTATAGACGCATACACTCCAAGTCTAATTGTTCGCATAATACATTTTTAATCCAAATGTTTAGGCGATGATTTCTCATATCTCTTCTCAGGCTCTGATGTTTATCAGATTAGTGGAACAAAAGTGCATAAGGTATATTGTAGCCTTCTTAGGTACGTTTTAATGATAATCTAGAAACTCTCTATACGGGACATGTTCCCATCGGCACCATCACGAGTCGATGCTGCTGTGTTTAACCCAGTAGCTGGCACAATGCTCATTCTAGGAAATGGACAGGTTATTTTATACTTTACTTCCGAGAACGTTAACTCATTCTTCAGGTCTACGGCTACTACTTCTCAAGAATCCGTGGAATTTATCAGTTGGATTCTGGTTATCCAAAACGCTTGACATCAGAAATTCGGTTCACACCATCAGGTGCCTTGCGCTGGATTAACGGGCATCAAATTATTCTATCGGTACTTGAGTTTTCTGAGTTTTAAATATGTTTTTGGTCAGAGCGGAGATGACTTTGCTGTTTACGATGAGTTCTGGAACCAGCAAACTCTCACGAATAAGATCTCGAGTTATTTCCCTAACTTACCCCAAGGAATCAAAGGAATTGAGTCACGTGAGTTGATGTCTCATCTCATAGCTCATCTTTCTTCGTTTAAGCTTCTGGGTCTTTGGTAACAGCATTTACCTCTAACATGGTCTATCAATACGATTCTCGTAGTAAGACAGTTAGACAATCGAAATCATTAAGTTCATATCTCGTCTGTTGATATTAATTGATATTATTAAATAATAAACTTTGTTCATATAAAATACGGCGTTAAACTTCTGTTTGAATGAAAATGATCTGAGTTGTCCCCTTCACTTTCTCACTTCAGATAACAACGAATTGTGATAAATGAATAAGTGTGGCTGAGGACATCATACTTGTCACTTCACCGTCCCGCTACCAAGCACAACTGATCAAGCACAGTTCATATGACCAACGAAAACTCTAATCACGACCGATACCTATAACCTCTTATGAAAATGAAAGTTACACTTTTCGTTTCAATCTCATCTATACTTATCTGACAAGATAGGTATTTAAACGACTGAACACAGCTTATGGATTAAGGAATAATAGTGTATAACGGTCGTACTCTAACTAGGTCTACTCTAGAGAGATATTCTAATTTCATCTAAAGTAGAAGAAAAACAAAGATTTAGGGCATCTATGATAGGTCCCGGATGAAACTCCTACAACCTTGTCCACAGAGCTCAAGTTTATCGCACAGTATAATGAACATCACTGCATCACACAGATCTGCCCTTGGATTGTGCAACCGAGGGGATAGAACCTTTAAGTACAGATCAACGTAAGGGAACTACCTCATAGGACATTACTCCATATATATTACTGTCAAGTTGTTTTTCATTGACTTTATTTCACTGGTAACTCACAAAGAGATTGAGAATCAATGCGCGTTGGTTTTCAAATTTTCGGCTTTACCATTAACTTCATAAGACTTTCCGAATATGATACCACACTTATTGATGTTGAGTTCACTTAAAAACATCAAAACTGCTCAAAAGGTATTGAATAACACTGATATTTTTGATATTTAATTCTTTAAGCGAACTATCTATGATGTTGCTCTCAAAGATAATTATATTCTGGTTGTTGTTAATGTTTTGAATAATAAAATAAAAGATCTAGGATATCTTCGAACACTTCAGCTACTTTAATGAACCTGAACCGTCCTTAAGAATCCGGTTATATCGCACACCATGATGTCAGTCTCTGTTGTACCGCAGATCTGAAGAAGAGTGTGCAATCGAGGAAATTGAACCCTTAAGTATAGACCAACGTAAGGGAACTACCTCTTTGGACATTATTCCTTGTTTACTCGAGTAGAGTTGTTTTCAATGGATTTATTAAACTGTTAAGTAATGAAACAAGTCAATCATACGCCTAGGAGAAGAGAAGACAACGTACTTTCATTGTTTTTCCTTACAACCGTTTCAACAGCAGAATACAGACAGTCTGACACGATTTTCTACAAATTCAAACTCTATGAAAATTTACGATCCTGTGAAATGGCAAAAGCGTTTGATTGTTCGAAAGTAGGTACCGTTCACCACCAGAAGAAGCCCTGTGTTCACCAAGAAACAGAGTCCAAAAGTGCAAACTGATCCTTGAGTGAAACCTGTAAAGCGTGTCTAGTAATGATAAACTGAAACTTTTTTAAACATATACTGAATGAAGTCAAAATTTGTAAAATGATAGAAGAAGGCGCCGGGAACAGAATAAAAGCTGTGCCAAATGTCTGAAATCTTGAAGTAGACAAGCAGCATAAAGTAATGACCTGTATAATTAAGGTTCTCAGAACTTTTCTATGATGGTTCAGGCTTGAAGAAGAGGAAATAGATTCTTTTTTCTTTATTTCTGACACTATTTCACGAGTGAGTACGACTAGGAACTGAATGAAAAAGAAAAGGAGGATGTTTTCAAGTAATGTGATTTTACTATTATTGTATAGGAGAACGATATGAAAACGGTAACTACAAAGAAAAGACATCTTATGTTGCCGAAAGGATACCAGATAACGTTTCTATTAAGAAGGAAAGTTTTCTCTTGTTCTCTCAAGGCCTGAAATTTGCTTTGTTCAACTTGTTTGAGCCAAATTTTCACATTCAAAGGGTTTCCTTCAGCATTTATATCATTGATGTAGGTTATTATAAACACTAACGGCTGAAAAATCAGAACGTATAGACTGAAGATAGCCATGTAACTAAGAACTAAATGTATATTCTGTAACAATTAAACAGATTAATATGGATGATTCACATCTAAAATAGTACATGAACTATGTGATCCTTCGGAGCAATTGCTTGGAGTCGAAAGATGAATGCTCCTTGCAAGCAGCACTGGTAAACTCCGAACGCAAATTCGACCACAGAGAAAACATGACCCATATGCATGGTCTGCCATACCCGAATGCCCTCGATATACATTAAACTCATTTGGGTATCCACTGTCACTTGGGCAATAAACCAAAAAATTGCAGCTACGAATAATGAAATCTAAATAGAAAAAAACTGAAGGAGCAAGTATCGCACAGAACGCCTTGGCCCACAGTACAACAACTCACATATTGAATCATCTTCAGAATCCTATATATTTTAGCTTCTTTAGAACGAGGTGACGCATAGAATACGAAGAGTGAAAAAAAGAATAAGAATAAACTGAGAAAAATGTAAACGTTCATCATACTAGAGAATATTCTAAAGTCGGGAAGACCTTTCTTGTAAAAACAACTCTCTATCATATCTCGAGAGAAGCGGATTCAGCAAACTGCGGTAGCATGGAGTTTAGCTAATGATACAATTGAGAGATTCATTCCAATTTCAATCAAGCTAGAATACATGCAGAAAACTGCAGCATTTGTACTTGTTTTTCATCATTCTCTTTTTTGTTTCGGTAAATTTACAAAAATGCTTTGTTGAAAGACTCATCAGATTGTGAAGCCACCAAAGATGGAATGATCTTCTAAATAACTGATCAGAGTAGCCAAAACGGAATTCAAAATTGAATTATATGTATGTGGAAATGATAAAAATAGATAAGCAATCTTCCTAGAATGCAGAAAATAACTGCGTTTTGGGTCATCGACACGTGGATTATGAACTTAGATTAATTAGCATAATCAATCAGCACATGTCCG